AGAAAAAAAAAAAAAAAAAAAAAAATTTGTGATATCAGTTATTAGTAATGGCGTTAAATATCAAATTTGTAAATGGGTATAGATAGAACTCTCTTACTTATAAGATAGATTACTTTTAGATAGTGTTTATATCCAGATATCATCTGGATAAATAAATCCATCTCTGTTAAGAATTTTTAAATCTGGTTATCTGATAAAATATTTTTTACAAATCCAGATATCCATCTGGATTAATCTGTAATTTTTGTGAATATTTAACAGGTCATTAGCGAGTTTATACCCAGATAAAATCTGTGAACTTAATATAATTTATTGTATTTATACATATATCATTTATTTAATATTGTATAATAATTTGTAAATATAAAAAAAATAAAATTTATCACAAAAGCATGAATTTATTTGTGTAATTTATATAAGGTATAGTTTAAACATCAATAGGAGTAGTAGTTACTTGTTGAGCTGGAGGGTAAATATTAGCAAAATGGGGACTATTCCGTTTTGAGAATATAACACGACTAAATAACTCAGGTTTTATTCGTATTTTCTTAACAGTTAAAAGATTTTTCGCATCTGAGAACAGTCATTCTGAGGGAGTAAATGCCGCATTTGGAGAGGGAGAAGTCAAAAAAGAAGTAATATCGCTTTGGTGCTATCATAGGACCCTGCTTACTTATAAGATAAGTCACCCTCAGGCCTAAGGTAAAAATCATATATAAAAGTCTTTGCAGATCCTACTATAAAAGGAAATTTATGTTACATTGTTATGATTTTTTCCTTTTTAGCTAATTAACCAATAGAATTTAAGAAAAAAGTAAGGTAAAAACTATTAGTAAAGGCCAATTTTCTACGGTGACCTTTATTATAAGTAAGCAGGATCCTGCTGTCATACTGGAAAATGGAATATTATAAATGACGATAAGCAGTGATTTAACGTGTTTTAGTATTTTTATTACTTGGTGATTCATGTAGCGAAACATTGGACATTGAGACAATTATTACTATATTGTGCAGATTGGCATTTCATAAACGGATATCCGGATAAATTATATAGGTTAATGGTTTATATTTGGAGGATCCGTTTAGACTAAAATTATATTTAGATAACGTCAACTCAAAAAAACTTTTATCTGGATACCTACTTCTTACCGGATATCCATTAATACAACCAGATTTGCTATATCCGGATATAAACACTACTTCTAGATCTAAGGTAAAAATTATTGTCTGAAGTATGAGGACATATTACTTCTACGCATTTCAAATGCAATGTCGTTCTGTACTATAGCCTGATCGACGAATGAAATTTTGTCTTACATATATACAAATTTAGCCATGTGTTACGGTGATATCAATAAAATTTTAATAAATAAATAAGAAAACTTTAAGCAGAAAAGGCTAAACTTTTACTTATTTTGATAGAAGAAATAATATTGAAAAAATTATGTTAAGGGTGAAAACTGATTATATTATGACTTAGAAAGAAAGTATTTAGTGAGATATCTTAGACAAATATTACACAAGAATTTGGGCATGCACAGCACGCTGACAATTTTTTTTAGTATTAAATGTACAATTATTATTAATTATACTGAATACTTCGGACGCTCCAACAGTTCCCGTTTCCTAGTAATATATATTTATGTAATATAATTTTGTTGAATTTGTATCTATTTTAATTTACTTCTATAAAGTCATTTTAATTAATTTTTAATATTTGTGATAAATATATAGAAGTTTTAATCTATGTAATTATGCTTCTATATAATTACTAATTTGGATGTATTTTTAAGAGGATGATTTAACATGAATTATTTAATCCAAAAAACAAATTAGTAAAACTCATAATATAATATTGTATAAAATTTATAAAATAATATTATTTATAATTATGAATTTTATATAAATATAAAGAAAATTTCTAAGTTTACACGGGGTGTTTGTACACGGGTCATATAAATATAATTTTTAATAGACTAATTTTTGTTTTTTAATTTGAAATTGAATGCTACCGACATTATACTCTTTTACTTTTTATTCTTATTATATTACAGATAAATATATGTATTTTCACCTGCTCTGCAAGTTTACTTAAGGCATTAAAGGAGGTTTTAAATGCCATTTTTAATCTACTAATATGACCCGTGTTTAAACACCCCGTGTACAAATAGAAATTGCCAAATATAAATACTATGTAAATTTTAAGTTTATATAGATTTGTATAATTTAAATTTAAAAAGTTGTATTTTAATATTTAACAATTGAATTTTTATAATTCTAGATTCATTATATTTGTTTTATTGAAAGGATTTGAATAATAATAAATTGTATTTAATATATAATTACACTTTATATTATTTAAACATTGAGTTTAGATATTTTTTATGATATTTTTATTCTAGTAATTAGATTTTTATAATTTTTAGTTTATTAGATTTGTTTCATTAATTTAATTCAAATGATAATAAATTTATGATCTGATTGATATTAATTAAATTATAGTATTTTAAATCTTTTAAATTTTTTGTTATATATAAATTGTAAAATTTATGCAATAATAATTTAATATTTCTAAAAAATCTGAAATAATAAAAGTAGTTAAAGTATAAAAATTTGTTTATTGTAATTATTTAATGCCCTTTCTTCCTTACCATTTTTAATTCAAATTAAGCTATCATGTGATGCTGATAAGAATTGGATTAAGAATTCAATTGTTTAAGGATTAATCATTATTATAAAATTATATTTTTTATATATTAATATGTGATGATCTGCATAATTTTAGTAAAAAAAAGAATTTTGGCTGCTTTTTGTATATTATAATTTATAAAAAAAAAGGTAAATTAATTATTATTATTGTAAGATTGCATTTATATATATATCTTTTTTAAAGCAGTTAAGTTAATTGATTTTAAAAATTCTAAATAATATACTATATAAGGTTTGATTAATATTCCAACTTTTTTTTAAAAAGATAATTGCTTTTTTTTTATTTTATTAAATGGTTTTTAAAAATGAAAATTATTATTAAAAAAAAGTTAAATTACTATTAAGTAATTATATTCTGTTAATTTTTATATATACTGTATTTTTTTTATAAAATTTTTTAAATATAATTCTTTAAATAATAATTTTGCCTTTAGTTTTATTTATATTGATAATATTATTAATTTTTTTTATAGTAATGTATGGATTTAGAACAGAAATCTTCTTCTTTATAATATTGAAAATAAAGAAAATCATTATTACCTTATATACAGTCGCGTCGGAAAGTATTGCCCGATTTGAAAATAAAGACAAACACAAAAATGTTTGTAATTTTTCACTAGTATATACATTAGTAAAAATTTATATCTAGTTTGTTTCCCATTCTACATCATATTTTCACAATGCCAGAGTGGCACCTTTCTCAAAGACAGAAATATTTAAATTTTTATTTTTCCTTCAGTACAGCTTTAAGCTTGGCTACAGCTCTTGGAAAGGGGTCACACTCCTGAGCAATATATTGATTCATTTTTAATTGTTTTCTACTTTGCCTAAACCAAATAAATTTGTTGGTAAATTAGTAGTTGCAATTTTATTTAATTTTAGCTGATTTTTGGCTTAAAATGAAGGTTATAATTAACTTGACACTTGTGATTATCTTGATATCCAGTGATTCGAATTTGATGAATAAGGCTCAATAGATTTGTCTTGTCAAGACGAGTTGAATGTTGGTTGGCACATGTTTCTAGGATCAATATATACTGATATATGCATTAAAACATATTTTGGACGGTTTGACTATTATCTCGTGATATACTGATGTTATACATGTGAACTGGCCATTATTCGATGCCTCTCAATGAGATGAATCCAATGAGTCTTTGATTGTCATCGTCGGATCACTAGATAGTGAGATATTCCCGATTTTGTGAAATTCAGAGTTTCGAAAAATTTTCAAGTAAAGAATATTTTAAGTTATATCTCAGCATCTATTGATCCTAAAGACACAATACAACTAACATTTGACTCGTCATGATGAGATGGATCCAACGAGCCTTTATTCATCAAATTCAGATCACTGGATGCTGGGATAATCATAGTAGCCGAATAATTATGTCCCCCATCTGTTAGTAATCGGGCAACACTTTCTGACGCGACTGTACATATTTAATAAAAAAGTATTTATACTTAATATCTATTTAAAATATACTTGATTTTCTTTAAAATATATTTAATTTTCTTATTTTATACTTGAAATATACTAAAAGTTAAATTTGCACTTAAATTATAATTAATATATACTTAAATTACATTTAATTTTTTACATTTCAGTATATTTAAAGCATATTTATAAAATAAGTATATTATTGTATGCTTCAATTATAATTAAATTATGGATTTTATAATTCATCACACCTACAATTCTACCATATCCTTTTTTGTCACCTGTATCATATACCCTCCCCTTTTCATTTTTTATATGTATTATGGGAACAGAGAATTTTTTCAGTTGTAAAAAATCTATTTTTCACACTCTAGTTAAATGTCACATGTTTTAACATGTTTTTGCCTGGAATTACGTAATTTTGCCCAGGATGCAGGTGCGATATTCAGAAATAAGACCCTTAAATTATATTTAATTTTTTCCATTTCAGTATATTTTTAATATGTTTTAAGTATAAAATAAAATTTAAGTATATTTTAAATATATTTTAAATATATTTTAATAAAAATACTTTTTATAGGGATAAAGATTGCCATATTAAAGGGTCAACTGTTCATTCTCATTCATAACAGCCATACTGGCTTTCACTATTTAAATAAGTTGCATTAGATCACCAAATTTTTAATTTTTTATGACTCATATACTTTAGTAATGACTCAATAAAAAATCGTTTAAAAATATTATGATAAGATTTACTATAAGTTTATACTCGTGAGAAATCAAGTAGTGAATACCTAAAAGATAACATTTTTTTGATTCGGATATGCACATGTGCTAGATATTGCGTGACGAATAGATTTACCATATAATGAAATACGGAGGGGTGTGACACTGGCGAAAGATCCAAAATCCTGCACGAGTAAAAAGTTAAAAATTAGTGTGGCAGCATTACAGATCCATCTCTTCAATTTTATTGGTATTTCACTATTATTATGAAAATAACCAGCGCTATATAATGTTAGCTAAATAGATAAGTAATTTAATATTGAATACCTGGAGTAAAATTCTTGTTTATTATTAGTTGTTGCTTGTTAACGATCACCATGAATTAATTTCAAATTGTAATTGACTTCAAGTATTAATTATTGTGTCAACTCGTTATTTACGAATTTCTTGCCATGATTTAATTGATATTCAACAATTAAGAAAATAATAATTTGTACAAAAATAAATAATAAATAAATTATAAAACTAGTAACGTAATAGTGATGATTACGGGATATTATCTAAAGAGTTGTAATTTGAATATCGTGATCTATTATTACTTAAACCAAAAAATGCTCTCATTCTACGACCATAAATAATAACTTGGATTACGATTATAAAGTCTACACTTAATTGTATAATACCACAAAGAATGAATTGTACTGGTGTATGATAATATATATAATAAAATGTTTTAAATGTATCTCCACAGACCCATGTTAAAATGATCCATTTACTTCATTAAAGATTAAAAATGTAAAAAAATGTAAGAAAAATGTGAAAGTGAGGCAAATATAAAAAAATGTAAGAAATGTGAAAGTGAGGCAAATATAAAAAAATAAATTTTAGAAAAGGTGTCTTACCTGAATCCTGATACAGAGTGCCTCTTAAAATTTTCCCAAGCTTGGGGCATCGGAACAGTACTTTCGATTCCGAGTGACTTTATAGATCAAAAATTTAGAATCGAGAATTGATTTGATTTGAAATAACATTTAAACTATAATTTACCAGAAAACCCAAAGTTTCAACGAACCATGTTTGTTTATAAAACATGAATTGAAATAATCCCAATAATCCAGACAACGTAATCAAGAAGATTAAATAAGATTTATAAGTGTACCAATTCCAAAACCATCGCCGATTTGGTGTTGGTGAGATTGGAAATCGATATTTAAGAAATTCATGTAATAAAACAAGCTGAACAGCTATCATCAAAAAACTTTGATAAAGAAGTACTTCTGCAAACCTTTTCCCAACCCTATTAAAACCAAAATAATTTAAAGACAGTTTAAATATTAAGAAAATAAAAACATATTAAACCTACCAAAAGTGAACACGAATAATACTACTAACTAATAATACTCCTGTCGTATCTAATGAATATCCTGAACTTGATTTAGTCTGTCGAAATTTATTAATTTGATCAAAGTATCCTAATACAGGACCAACGATCATAGATATATCGAGTAGAGTATTAAATACATCACTAAGTTCTGGCATTTTGAAAAAAAAAGAATAAAAAGGTTACTAAAACTAAAATAAATAACACTGTTTATATTTATTTATTTACATTTTCGAGCATGGCGGAAATTTGATGATCCGAGGCTGTATAATTATGGACTGAAACCATTTTATCCGGCATATAGTTCATGTGATTTCTAAGTCACGTTTCTGGATAACTCATAAAGTAAAAAGTCCAACACCCGACAGAATGATAACTAGGTAATGTTTTGACTTAAATTGGTATTCTTAAGTAAAAATCTCCGGCAGAATGGTAATCCAGGAACCTTCTTAATAAGAAGATAGATACTTCTCTTTACTTTCGATTGCTCAATAAAAATGTATTCTAAAGTCTAAACCCACCATAGGAATTATTCCCGCTTGGCGCCAGTGATGTTATGAAGTTTATACAACGCGTTGAACGTTTACATTTTGGAGACGGAAATTTTCATATACTTGAAAGACTTAAATTGACTCCAGTCCGTTTTTGAAGCTAACTGGTCTCAAAGGTGATATGCGCAAGATAAGCTTACGAGTAAATTTTTTTTTTCGGGACTTTGATCACGTGATCGTGTTGGAATCCATCTTTTCTCTTTAATGTCTTACTAATGGCAAATATCGGAAGTTGATAATATTCAACATAAACATTACACAATTGTCGATTGAATTCTATTTTTATTGATAGATAATATTTATCTTATTTATTTTACTAGTTCAAACTTTAATGCAATAGCCCCAAGCATCTTGGTTACATGGGCCAGTAATGGAAAGGTTAAATCATCATTACGTTTAGTATTGACATTGCCGAACAATATAGTTTAGATAATTTATTACACTGGTAAATTAAAATTTCGAAATGCGTATACTTATTAGAACATTCCAATCTAGGCTTCTGCAAAAACGGGAAGTACGTGCGATATTCATATTACGCGTGATTTTTATTACAAAGTTATTTATCACTATTAAAAAGCCATCTTCATATATAGCATATATTAAAGGTCTTGCACCATCTGGTATGTGAACAAGTTAAAACTTTATGTTTGCTTATATAAAATTATCACATTAAACAGGTATCGGCAGGCATGGAAAATGCCAGAACCAGAAGAGAGAGAATTTATCAAATATCAAATTCTGTCAAATGTAAGCGTAAAAATAAACGGATTTTCGTTTGCGTAAATCTATAAAAATAATTATTTTTCTGTGAAACATTTGACCCTAAAAGTCAAGAAATTAATAGGGTAGAAGATATTAATTCTGGCATGTAAAAGTGAGTGCAAACAACGCTCTGGAACTTTTTAAAAAAACATGGAATTAATCGAATTAGTTGTGGGAACCGTTAGATGATGAAGACTTAGTGGTTAATTAATATACTTCCTTATTTTGTACCGGCTAATGCTATATTTTATTGTGATTTTTCCTTGAATATGTTATGTGACAGAAATTGAAAATAAAAAAGGCAATTTTTAGAAATTATCCAGCCAAATACCCAATTATGCTATTTTGTGGCCAAATAAATTACCTCTGATGAGGACTATTAACTTGGAGTTTGCCTGATGAATTTCCCTTTCAGGAAATTTGGCTTCGGGAATGACAAATAGGAATTTCCTCTATTCCTCTAATGCAGGTCAGTGTAACTTCCTATTTGTAATATTTCAAAAAATAAATAAAATATCAGTATGCATGCAAATTTAAACACAAATCGCCAAATGCTTAATTACTGGCATAGTTAAATTTTTCTTATGAATGATCCACTTGTAAAAAAAAAAATTATAAATACTCCAGTAAAGTTCGTATTATTCGTCTATCTTATTCTATCCAATAATTAATATATTATTATATAAAAATAATATTAATGGCACCATGGCCGTCCTTACATACCTCAAATCCTTGACAGTCTCAATAGCACCGCTATTATTTTACCGTCACGCCAAATTTTGCGCTACTCACCAAGTTTCCGTTATAGTTATTGCCATTTTTATAGTTTTACCTTTATGTTATCCTGCTCTTAATGCCTATTATTTAAACCCTACCAGCGACGTCCCAAGTTTTTATTGGGAATTACCATCATCTCGCGTGCCTATTTCAAAGGCTAGTTTCAAACAAAAATGCGATTCTCAAGCTTCATTACGTGTAGAGAAAATTATTATTAAAACCAATGGTTTTAAAGATATTGAAAATCCTCAATCTAATTATGATACAAATGTTTTAGAAAAGAGTCTGTTATTGTGGACACATCAATTACAAGAAAGACTTGCAAATACTGTAGTAGTATATCCACCTAATAAAACTCCACTTATTTCGCGCCAAGAACCTGAAGAATATACTCTTTCTAATTTATGTTTTAAGCCAAACGGTGGAAGCCGTTGTCTGATTAATTCCCCTATTGAATTTTGGAATTACGATGCTGATTTACTTATGAACGATGATAGTATTTCAAAAACTCTTTCAAAGGCAGATAAACTTTCTTCATTTAAAATACCAATTCCTCTGGATTCGGTTTTTGGAAATCCTGTTTATGATAAAGTGACTGGAAGGATTATAGGTGCAGATTCTATCATTTTAACTTATTTTTTAGAAGATATGGGTAATTGTGCCGAAGGTCAAACTTTAGCTATATGGGATTTGCTTTTGAAGCATGTAATGGATGCAAATGATACTTGTCATATTGGTGGTGAACGTATAAAGGCTTTTGATATAGATTTTAAAGAAGCGTCAAATCATATCGTATTTATTGTATGTTTTGATTTATTTTGATAACATAACAAAAATATTGAAATTAACATATTAGTTTTTATATAGTTTAATCGTCATAAGGGATTTTCGGCAGAATCTATCCTCCTTGCTCTAGAATATATTATTGCGTTCCTATATATATCACTTTCCCCTGGACGACTTAATTCTGTAAAGTCAAAATTTGGGTTGACATCATCAATTGTGGCCCAAATAATTGCTTCTTTGGTCGTTTCACTCAGTGTTTGTTCTCTTTTTGGTGTCACTTTGACACTTGGATCTTGGTATTTATTTTAATATCCTCTTTTAAAATTTTTAGCATAATCTTATTAATAATCTTCTTTTCCAGGAAATTGTTGCCCTTTGTACTTGTAATTATCGGTGTTGAAAACTTATTTATTTTAACTAATGCAGTTACTTCAACTTCAATGGAATTAGATGTTAAAGAACGAGTTGGAAAAGGACTTGAAAAAGTTGGAGTTTCAATAACAAAAAACCTTTTTACCCGTCTTTTCGTTTTATTTATTATCTCAACAACAATAGATTTAGTTCAAGAATTTTGTATTTTCACTTCTGTGGCGATAATAATTGATTACCTGCTTCAAATGTCATTTTTCATCACTACATTGTCTATAGATCTTCGAAGATTAGAGGTAATGACTTGTAGACTTATTATATTCAATTTTTCAATAATGGATGTTATTTATATATGTCATTGGTCTTTTTTGTTTATATAGATTTCTGATTTGTATAATCGACGAGTTGGCATACCATTGAATCCTAAAAAAACTCTTAATAATCATAACCCCAAATTGATCAATGGAGTAAAAATTGGAACAAATTTTTCCAATAATGTTAGCAATGGGAGTTTGTTTATTTACTTGATGGTAAGCTAATAATAATTGAATTCAAATATATAATATATGAAATAAGTTAAAGAAAGATGATTTATTATCTTCCTAGATTGCTATTTCAATTACGACATTTATGTACCAAGCAAGCGGAGATTTTTCAAGCCTTTTACCATCGTTTAAGAGCGCTTTTAGTGATTCACTTGCGAATAAAAATACTGTCGACAAAATTTCTATCACAAATACTTTTTATGAAACCTCAACCGCCACTGATGCTGAGGCTTTCTGGAATGTTGTAAACCCGAAAAAGACGAATCAATATTTTGAAATAAGACATCCAAGGAAACTCACACTTTTGTGGACACTAGACCAGAAAAATAATCTAACAGAGTCGACGAAATCATCAGAACCATTCCCATTTTTATTGGAAATAGCTGGAACGAAATTATCCGTTAGATCCATAATTAAAAATGCTGTCTTGTATTTAAAAATTATTATAATTCCTGCATTTGTAATTATTTTTGCAATTTCATATTTGGTGAGCTTCTTGGTACCTTCGGACCAAATCGGTAAGGGTACAGCATCTAGAAATGATAATGAAAATAAGATTTCTTTGCCAGCTCCTTCCTCTAGAAACTCCTCATTTATGACCACACCTAGAGTTGTTACATTACGCGGACGTCATTCTGCTGATGTTAGCTTACTTTGCGCCAATCCTAATGGTATGATTATTACTACTGCCAAAGATAAGCATATTACTTCATGGGATGGTAGACGAGGAGTTTCACTGAAAAAACTAGAGAGATACATGCGTAAATGTGATTCATGTAAATGTGGCATCACTGGAGGAATGAAGAAATGTATATCATGGCCTGTCAGAGCTATGTGTATGAGTGAGAAGATCGAATTGGCTGCTGCGGGATTTGAAGACGGTGTTGTAAGAGTTTGGGATATTGATTCTGGACAAGCTACATTTATTTTAAAGGACACCGTTGAAGACGTAGAATCGGTTGTGTCCTCAGTGAATGTATATACAGCGAAAGAACGTGTCACTTGTTTACAATTCGTTGTTCCAACTTCTTCCTCTTCAATACCACAGACACCAACTTATGAAAAAGGATGTATGAATTTCTCGGTCAAACCAGCATCAACACAGCAAGCTCCATCTATGCTTCTTGCAACTTATCGCAATGGTTATTTTCGAGAATGGGATTTAGTTTCGGGTCGGATTGTTCATACTATAGCTACTAATCAAAAAGGTGGCATTAGTTATCTTTGTGTTGTAGACGATGGTGAGTTGGATTATAACCAGGATGATTTATGTGCTTTCACGGGTGCACGTGATGGATCGGTTAAATGTTGGATTCGAACGAGTTATTATTCCGAAAATGAATCTTCTACTGACCTTAATGGACTTCGTAAGAGTAGATGGAAGTCAACTTACACGATACCCGGTGAAACAGGAAATGCTATTACTTGTATAGCTGCCAAGGTAGTAAAAACTGAGAACAGTACCTACGGGATTGTTATTACAGGTACAGCAGATGGAGGTATAAGAGTATATGATTATTTTACTGGTAAACCTATAAATTCATTAAGTCGAGGTACGATATTTAGTCAAAAGGAAAAGGAACAATTATTATTACAAAGAAAATTGTTAATTCGGCAACAGAAATTAAATTATAGTAAAAGGTCATTTTCAGGTTCATATGATTGTGATTCTGACGATTATGAAGATGAAGAAACAGATGATTACGATGATGATTTTGATGATGATGAACTATCGCATCAAGATGCAATTACAAATATAATAATTAATTTACTTAAACAGGAAAGTTGCTATTGCGGTAATACAGAATATGGAGGTTTTTCAATAGTTACTTCTTCGGTAGATGAAAAAGTACACGTATGGCAATTAGTAAGGAATGTTATGGATTGTTCCTGTGTTGCATTACGGAATAATTCAAAAAATGGACCTGCTGGACGTCTTCAACAAAAAGATGTAGCTAAATGGGATGGTGTTATATCCTATTTTCCTAAATTTATTGGAAGAGTTAGTCAGCCTGGAGGATCAGCAATTGTATTTATAAAGGAAAATATAGTTGGCGTAAGAAAAGCTAAACATCTCTCAGGGTCGAAACATGTTCCTAGGTGTCATGGAGCAGAAGGAGAATGGGAAATGTGGATGTTGGAAATTAATGATCCAAAAGTAATTGATTCTGCACAAGATGATCAAGAAAAGTCTGATGATGAAAGTTATGTAGTCGAATTATCAGTACAGACTATTCCTTTAGTTAATGAAGCAGATTTACTTACTGAGGAACAGTTAAAAAAGAAAAAAGTGGCTCTTCAAGTAGTTAAGAAACAAAGAGATAAAGAAAGTGCGGGAGAATTAAAAGGATTTGTTAGGAGGAGAAGAAATATACTAACTAATAATAGCAATAATGTTGTAGGATCAAATTTTGGACCTACATTCCCAATGTCGTCGTTACCTTCGAATATACATAACCATAATCATTCGCATATTGATCATCATCATGAAGAAGATATACAAGGTCAAGTAGTTGATTATCGACAAAGCAGTCAAAGAAGACGTAGTGCATTACATCGAGTATATCCAGATGAAAGACAATTATCACTATTAGATGAAGAAAATGAAACGAACGAATTTTTACCCTTTGCTCATGTTAAACAAGTAGTTAAAATTGGTGAAGATGGTGTAGCAGTTGCGTATGGTAATTTTGTTAAAGTAGTTTTATTTGAACATTCGGACAATTACGAAATTGTTGATGGTGATTTAGACATTTAAAAATTTCAAAAATAATAAGAAAAAAAGAGGGGGTTAATATTTAATTAAATTTCGCATTTCAACTTTTGTAAATAAAATCAGAGAAAATATATTATATATTATATGTAATTTTATTTTAAATCATTCGTTTATAAATAAATAAAATTGTGAACAACTATTATTTTATGTAATAAAATGTCTTTAACTTTTAAATTTTGCAATATTGTAGTTCTATCACTATACATACAAAATAGCTATATAGACTATATACCAGATTTGTATCTCATAGTCGTGTTTATGGATAGTATACTGAAGACGCCGGGGCTTTTTTTTTTTTTATTTTATTGCTGGTCTTTGCAATTGAGTTGGTCAAATTTTCTCAATATCCCAAGTAAAGTTATTTATAATTTCTTCGTCAATTTTGACAATTTTTCGAGACGAATGAGCCCCCGGTGTGGCGAAACTTTACCAATATTTACAACTATAAAAGACAAATTACATAATATTTTGCACAAATATTTGTAACAAATCTACATTGGCGGTCTACTATTACTACGTCCGTTACCACGTGCGTTACTACTTGCTGCAGCTTCTTTGGTTCTAGTTTTCTTCCTAACAGCAAGTGGAACATCTTCGGAATCGCGATCATCGATTTGATCTAGATTCTTCTTAGATCCAGCTGAGGATGATCCAGTAATTGTACTTGAGCTTGAAGTAGCACCACCTCTTGCTTGTGAACCTATAGCAGTAGAAACTCTGTTCACTTTAGAGGCTGTAGGCTTCTTTTTCTTTGTCTCTTTCTTTTCAGTTGCTTTTTTTGCTTCCTTTTGAGCTGCTTCAGCAAGCTTCCTTTCTCTTTTTTCTGCTTCTAATTGTGCTTTCTTTAGTCTTTTTTCTTCTGCATCGGCCTTTCTCTTTGCATCGCGCTGTTCTTGTTTTATACGTTTTTGCTCTTCCCTTTCTTGCTTTTCTCTTGCTTTTTCTTCCATCTTGATGCGTTTAGCATTTTCTTTCTCCACTAATGCGGCAGCATCTTTCTCTCTTTTGCGCTTCTTCTCTGCAAGAGCAGCTGCATTTTGTGCTGCAGTCTTAGGTGGCTGTCTCTTGGGTTGTGGAGGAATCTTACCAGTCGGAGGAACTTTCGGTCTATGGTTTCTTTGTTTTTGCGGCAAGCCGTCATCCTAATATTTAAATTTAAACTTTCAAAATTTTATATTCAATGATTAGAGAACTAAATAGATAGTTACTTACATCTACTAATTTGCCATTCTGCTCTTCCAATCGGTTGCGGAAATACTCAGTAAGCAACCCGATTACTTTTTCAGGGTCAATGGGAGCGAATGGCGGTGGATTAGCATACCGGGATTCTGTACATTTAAAATAATTAATTAATAATCAGTAAAAAAAACTTTCTTCTCTTGTTATAACCTACTTCTTTGGTTTGGTTCCTGTGCCTTCTTCTGAACAGGTTTAATTTTACTGGACCCCAGCAATAATTTAGTAGGAACCGAAAGATTTCCTAGACCAAGTTCTTTTAAACCAAAGAAATCGTCTCCTAATTCAATCCCATCACCTAAACTGCCAGTCATAAATACATCCTCATTTTCTGGCAAATCTTCATTGTCAGTTCCGGTATTATCGGGTTGCTATATTATAAATAAAAATTAATACCATGGCAAAAAAAAAAAAATGCAAATTATTATATTACTTACACTCAGCGATTCTTTGTACGCAATCTCTAGGCGACGTTGTATATCTCTTAGTTTAGTGCCATATCGTTCAATATCATCTCGAACGTATGATTCAATATCTTTAACGGTTGGTACACCATTCTCGTACAAGGTCTTTTTAATAATTTCCTTTTTAAAATTAAAGATAAGTACGAGATTATAACAAATAGCTAATAAGCCATAAACAAAATATAAAATAGTAATTTACTTCGGGAGTCTTTTTGTTGAAGACATCATCCATGTACGCCCTCATTGTTTTTCCAAGGTTTAGTAAATAATCCTGAGCAACTTCGGTTAATATATTAACAGCCATTGAAGAACCACCTAAAGAAATAATGGTTATGGTCAGTGTGATTAATAATTTTATATATAAGTAAAAAAAAAAAAAAATAGCGTGCTTAATGTACTTTCAAAACCTGCGTGCTGTAGCAGCTTCACGACAACCCGTTGCAAGCATGCAAATCCAGCATCGCGGTTCATCACAAGTGGTGGCAAGTCTTTCGGATCTACTTGTGGTTGACCCTCGGTTGTCTTGTTTTCAGTTGTCGCAGCTTCGTTCACGCCGAAATGACCAAGCTAAATTGTAAAGAAAAAAATATTAATCCATTTTCATTTAATCGGAATTAACAACCAATTAAACATACCGGCAAGTTGTGTTTTGCCGCCAACAGCTTTGCATGAAGGAGACGCGTTTGTTTAAGTGTCTCTATATTACGTTCGATCATCGCGGCAGTACCACGGTTCGAAAATTGGAGCTGTGGATATTGGTCAAGCGTTGGTCTTTTTGCCTCTTGTCTATGTAATTACATACGTTAAAACAAACATATACATACATGCATATACAATATTTACTTACTCTTTCCAGTACTCGGAATCAAACAACCTATCACGATCCGGATTATCGATTTCTGGATCCCACAACTCCGGCAAGAGAGGAGTATCCAAACCTTTTAGTATTTCTTGTAATTCCTTATCACACTCATCATCATCCATATCATTAGATAAGACAACAGGTATTTGTGGAGTTTCAATTGAGGTTTGTTCTTGAATCGGTTGTGGTTGCTCTATCATCTCGGGTTCTATATTAAGTATGAAAATAAGTCGTTTAGCGATACGCACTTATAAATATGATTTAATAATTATCCAGAGGTAATCACCCCTTTCTTCAGCGGCGATTTCTTGCTCCACTTGGGCAGTAATAGCGACAGCATCGGCAGCGGCTCTTTTCATCATTTCTTCTTCTGTCTTTCTTTTCATTTCTTCGTTGTACTGCTCTCGAGTCTTGACGACAATTTCAGGAACGTTCTCAAGTAATTCATCAGTTTTTGCCCTCATCGCAATAGCACATTTCCTAAAGTAATTATCCTGATACATAGAAAAGAAAATTAATCAAAAAAAGGGTAAGATTACTAAAGTAAAAAAATATATACCGGATCTGTGTTGTAGGTGAGGCAGTTACTATAAATCAGTAAAAGATCGTCAGCAAATTCTTTCTTGGAGTTATATTGCCCATTCTTAAAGTTTTTTGTCACTTGGCTTAGATCCATCGGACGTTTAATTACTACGAATAAAAAAAGAATCAATTAACAATTAATGAACGATAAACTAAGAATGCATAAAATATTTACTTTTATAGTAGTCAGGAGCCTCTTTAGCCGCAACCTTTTTAAGAAATGGCGACGAGTATTCCTATATTGATTCACAAAATATAATGAAATTAATTTCATGTGCTTATTTTAGTCTCATTAATTAAAATCACATTTACCGAATATGCCTTCAGAGCGTTTAAAACGCTTTCTATTGCTTCATATAGTTCTGCGCGCCCTACATAATTCGGGTCGGCCTAAAGAAAATTAAAATTAGCGAATACTAATGTATTATAATTTCATATAGCCAAAAAATAACAATAAAATTAGAATCATACATATTTCGAACCCAAACTTCTAACTTCGGTTAAAGTATTGACTATCTCTTCATCCAACATTTTACTTGCACCTCGATTTTTCTCGATAGCTTCCACCAGATACTGAATTGGAAACGCAAATTAAACATCAAACTAAACATGAGAGTGCTAGATATTATGTTAAAATACTTACGCGCATCTTGGGGTCAGCTTTCAAGAATTGCTATATAGACGTAACAAATTAGAGACCTTTTGATACAAGAAGAAAATGCTCACTTGTTAATTTGAGAGAAACTTACCAACCCGCTTATCTTCGAGCTTGAAGCTTGTTCTTGGATATCCATATTTCCTATATCTTATTTAATTATGTATCGAGCAATTTTGTGGAAACGCTTTGAATTCGGAAGTGATTTTTTTTAATAACGTAAGATTTTCCATTCAATTCTGTTCAACTAAAGTGCTATTAAAATTACTTTGAAATTCTTCTTTCATATTATATTAATATTTTCACCACGTGACTTAAATAATGATTTTAAACTATACTGGCAATGATCGGTGAACAATAGAATACAATAATCACGTGCAAATTCAAAAGTACCAAATGTAAAAGGAATCTTTGCCTGATTTAATTTTTATATTTTAAAAGATTAAAAAGGAAGAGAAAACATCACACCGGGTCGGGTCCAACCCTTTGCAGTCATGAAAAAACAAATTTCCATTTTAAATTGGCAAATAAATGATAAGTTTTAAATGTTTTTTATTAAATTAGGAATTAAATTTTATAGTGAGAATATTTTTGTTATTACAATAAGAGATTAATTTGTCTCATAAAAAAGATATATTTATTTACTACAAAGCATTTTAATATAAATTATGATACAAAAAATTTTCCTATTCAGTCTTTAATAACGTTTATATTTAGATAAGTTCCTTTGTGCAAAAACTTGAAGATCCAGATCTAATCAAATCAATTAGTAAATCCTAAATCCTACGGGAATGCCATTTGGATCTTCATGCAGGAATATTCAATTGGTGTCTCAATACGCCCAACACCAAGAATCAACATTCGTAAATTGATGTAGATGTGAAAAAGTATTATCTGAACGAGAGTTAAATACTTACTAGAATTTGGATGGTTGTTTATGAAGGAAGTAAAGAGCTACTTTTTGATGAGGGTTTGAGAGTGGTCAACTTCAATGACCAACGATATTTGCTGTCCACGCGCCGGCTATTGTCCGTCCTAAGACATACTGGTCGAACAAAAACCAGGCTATTTGCACTATTTGCACTAAGAATTGTAGTTGCGTCTCCTAACCCTGAGAATTCCAAACAGTAATTAATGGTTGAAGAATTTGAAACAGCCATTAATAATTGAGCAGATGAAGAGAAACATGCTGTATAAATCAACTAAATCACTGACCCTTTTAAAGTCGCTTCAAGTGTATTGGTTTTAGATTCTGACTCAGGAGAAGAGAAATATACGTAAAAGCTACAAAATGCGCCAACAAACTTAATCAACGATTTAAAATTCCTCGTATATCTTCCTAATGCCATTGCGTGAGCACAGGTACTTCACATGCCATAATTCTTAATGTAAAAAGTCTATCACAATAATAATTAAGATAAGTTCACATTTCTTCTATATCGATTTTCTGCTAACTCCACTTGGCTGATTCGATATCTTCAGAGGACAGTTATATATTTTTCTGTACAGGAGAGTGATAAGAAGTCGACAACAGAAGTAGACTGGGAATCTAAATGTTATATTATTCTTCTAATTCATTTTAAATTCACCTGGAGTGTCTCCTCAAATCTAAATTTTCGGGATTTTAGTGGTTATTACACAAGGAGGTTTAAGGGGTTAGGGTTTTGTGACCCGTGATATATATAGAGGGGTCAGAACTATTTTAATTGGGCAATTAAAGTCACATGCGAATAGATGTGGATCCAAAATAAAATTTCCCAAGACTTATCAGATTGTCAAAAGTCAACTCAAAAAAATAACTGGTAAGTGTATTCTCATCATCTCGGCAGCAATTACCAGTGTGTAATAGTTTCTTAAGAAAGTTCAACAATTGTAAGGATTTATCTTCTGGATCACTTTAACCTGCAACGCTGGCTTCGGGAAACAAGCCACTCCCTCCTCACCTCTGTTTATATCAACTGGTCGCCGGACAACGGATCAAACCCGAAACTGACTCTATTCCACAATGTCGACCTCTGAACATATTGTTACTGTCAACACTTCAGAAGCTCAAGATACAATTTCTACTCAGCAACTCTTAAAAGTTCATGAGGAAAAAGAAACCAATGCTCAAAAGGAAGTCACTAAAACCGAGCAACCAACCACTGCCGAGCATATCGATTCGATTTCTTCTTTATATGATACAAATTTTCCTTCTTTGTCGGCATCATCTGTTCCTGCTACAAAACCCTCAACATGGGGTGTTAAATCTGGTGCCGCCGCTGTTCGTTCAGAAATGACTTTGGGCTCGGTTGGTGAAAACCGAAAATCGGCAACTAGTGAAGCAACGGCACCTGTGGCGATGTCTCATCGTCAAGTAAATCCTGTGATTAAAAAACCAATCATTGTAACAGAACTTCTCGAATTGCCTGCTTCTCAACAGTTGCAAAAGAAAGAATTCGGTAATAAAACTACAACCGTTGACGTTGTCAAACGCGTAAAAGATAGGACTAACACTCATATTGAAGTTTCGACAGGACAAAGAACTGGTAACACAACTTTTTTAATTAAAGGAAAACATGAAGATGTCATGAGAGCTAAGCGTGATTTATTAGATAATTTAGCCGTTAAAGTTAGTATCTTTCTTGTATTATTTTCGGAATGTGCTATATATCAAAGGTTTATGGATAATTTAATTATTATTATAGAGTGAAGAAGTTATTCAAATCCCAATTTCTGCTCGTCGTTATATTCTTGGATCGCGTGGTGTAACTTTACAAACTATTACGCATGAAACTAGTACTAGAATTCAACTTCCACCTCGCCAAGAAAATCATAATGAAGAGAAATCTGAACTTGATTATGATGAGGATGAAGAAATGATGGACGTTAAAATAGAAGGTGATGCGAAAGGTATTAGTTTAGCCAAAGAAAAAATTGAAGCCATCGTAAATAACAGGGTAAATATTTAGTTCAAGAAATAATTCGGTTTATATTATTCTTATTCATCTTTATATTTACTTTTTAACAGGTAACCACGCGAGTTCATAAAATTACTCATATTGAGCACCACTATTATCCACTTATTTCGGGTGCTCATAACGCACATATTAATCAAATTAGCAACGAAACTGGTGCCAGAATCTACATTCCTCCTTTTCTTTCTACGGAATCAGCTGAAGGCTACGAATGTTCTTCCAAAGATGCTATTAGTATTTCTGGTGACAAAGAGGCTGTTAAGAAGGCGTTGGATAAAATTGAAGGAATCTATGAAGGATTGGTAAGATAATGTTATCGCTCACATTTTATTATTCAAAGTTTTTTGTAAGAAATTTATCTTGTTAATTTTTATCTTTTATTTCATTTTACTTTCGCTAATTAGAAAAGTAATACTACCACACTCGATGTAAACATTCCAAAACCTCAACATAAATACCTCATTGGTTCAAAAGGATCTAATCTTCAGGAAATTCTTGAAAAAACCGGTTGTTCTTTAGAACTCGCGCCATTGTCTCACCCTTCAGAAAAAGTTACGATTCGAGGAATACAAAACCAGCTTGTTGTAGCGCTTCAAATTGTGATGGATAAGGCCAGCTCAATTCGAGTTCAAACCCTGGATATTACCAAGATTCACAAAACTGATCAACCTTTGGAACATGCCAAAAATATATTGAAATATTTATGGAACAGGAACAAGTTAAAAAAGATTGAAAGCGACACAGGAGTTCAAATTATTGTACCAAAAGGACCAGCTTTAGAAAAAGCTGTTGTTTTGGAATTTGTTGGTAAGGTTCTTGAAGAAGTGGAAAATGCACGAAAAGAAGTCAGTGAAATAGTTAAAGGTTTAGTAAGTGTTATTTAATATAAATATAAATTTTATTCTTATTTGTTTTCTATTAATCACATATTGTATTGAATTACAAAGTATGATGATTAGGATTATTTGAATTTAGTCAGTTTATTATTTTACTCTCTATAGTCTCCAAATTATTTCGCCGTTGCGACTATTGAACCTCATTTGCATCGACATATAATTGGTCGTAAAGGACAAAATCTCCAACGAGTTAAAGATACATATGGCGTTGAGATTATTGTTCCTGACGAAAAAGACGAAAGTCCGGATATATTGATTGTATTTGAAGGAAAAGAAGGTGAAGAAATTCCTTCTGATAGGAAGAAAAAGGAAACATATATCAAAGATGTTTTAGAAAAGGCTAAAACTGAATTGGTCAAAGCAGGACAAGATGCTGTAGGTATAAAAATGTATTTGCTACTTTTGTTGACAGTATTAATGATAAAAATTTTTTTTTTTCAGTCTGATTTTGCTACACAAACTCTCACTATTCCGGTACGTTTTCATCGATATATTATTGGCCCAAAAGGTAATACACTTAACAACATTACCGGAGGAAATGATGCACCCGTTTCTGTTAAGTTTGGATCTTCTCGAACTGGTGCAGCAGAACGTTCTGCAAATGCTGAAGGTAAAAAGCTTGTCAACGTGCCGATTTCTGATGACATTGTCATAATTAAAGGCCCAACTGATGAAGTTGAGAGAGTTGTTAATGAAATTAAAAATGTAGTCGATAACGCTAAACACATTGAGGTAATGAATTTCATTAATTTATAATCAAGGAGAAAATATTTTCACATTTGACTTATATTCTCAAATCTCAATTATGTTAGATCATGAATTCTTATACGGAGGAATTTACCTTTCCTGCACAGTATTCTGCTCACGTAATTGGTAAAGGTGGTGCACACGTGAATCGTTTAAAGGAAAGTTTAAGTGTTAAAATTGATATTGAAGGTGGTGCCAAAGGGGAGGAAAAGAAAACTAATCCGGGTGAAAATGTTAAAGTTACTATTATGGGAATGAAGAGTAATGTAGAAAAGGCAAAAGAAAAAATTTTAGATCTGATAGATAAATTGCAGGATGCTACTGTAATTCATTTAAAGGTTCCTGCCGAATACCATAAATCGTTGATTGGTGCAAAAGGTCGTTATGTAAAACGTCTCGAAGAAAAATATGGAGTACACATTCGTTTTCCAAAAACAAACCAAGCTAATGGAGAAGGTGAAGAAGACATTTATGCCCAAAAACCCGATGAAGTTATTATAAAAGGCGGGAAGAAAGGAGTAAATGATGCAAAAACAGAATTACTGGAATTACTGGATTATGAAAAGGATCATGACCATTCTATTAACTTCAAAATTCCTGCTAAATATCTTCCACATATTGTTGGTAAAAATGGTTCTAGAATCACAGAAATTAAATATGATACCTTTACACGCATTGATCTAGGTCGACCAGAAATTTTGGAGGATGGTTCAGAACAAGAAGTTGCGAATGTTGTTATTCATGGAACAAAGTCTGATATTTGTAATGCTCAAGAAAAAATTCTTAATATCGTAAAAGAACTTGAAAATCAGATTACTCTTACTATACATATAGACCCTCAACATCATAAATATTTAATTGGTCCAGGTGGAAGCCGTATTCGCGAAACTGTTGCGAATGTAAGCGGGTCAGAAGAAAAAGGTAGTCAAGCCGGTGTTGTAAAGTTTCCTCGCCCTGGTGATAACAGTGATGAGGTGATCCTTAAAGGAGATAAAGAACTTGTTGAAAAGGTTAAACTTGAGTTAGAAAGATTAGTTGAAGAACAAAATAACCTAAAAGTTGGTATAGTTCAAATACCACGGGCTCAGCACCCAATAATCATCGGTCGTAATGCAAATCAGCTTAAAGAAATCCAATCTCGCTTTAATGTTGAAATTCAATTTCCTGGTTCAAGATCTTATCATGATACTCCTATTGCGGAAATTTCTATTGAAGAAATTGAAAATAGTGAGGAAGCAGTAAAGATCATTGGCAAAGAGGAAAATATTGAAGCTGCTAAAGCCGATATTTTATCTAGAATTAGGTATGTTCATACCGTGAATATACCACGTAAATTTCACTGTGCAGTTTTCGCAAACGGTTCTACTATTCGAAAACTGAGGAATGAATTTCATGTCATTGTTGATCATGGTGAAGAAATACCACCTGAAAAAAATGACTTGCAATTTATAAAACTTAATGATGAAGCTTCGATAAAGGAAAATGATCTTGAAAATGAAAGTTCTCTATCAAAGAGAGATTATGAAATTTTTGAAAATTATGGCGAAGAAGTTGGTGATATTTCCTGGAATTTGAAAGGGGAAAAATCGCAAGTCGAAAAAGCAGAAGTATATCTTAGAGAGTTAATAGAAGAGGCGGTAAGATATAATGATTTTTCTTGTAATGTTAAAGATACATAAAATATAAACGCATATTTTGTTTTTATAATAGAGTAACTTTACTCATACGGGACATATTACTATTCCTCAACAATATCATCGTCATATTATTGGCCGAGGGGGTGCAACTATTACTCGTATTCGCACTGAAAGTGGATGCAAGATAGAGGTGCCTAAAATCAAAGGCGACGATAATGTGATCGTGACTGGATCACAAAGAGGAATTGACGAAGCGTACAGGTTATTAAATGACATTGTAGAACGAGCTGAAAAGAATATTCATTAAAATCTTTCTTAACCATCACTTTGCATAAGAAAAATAAGAAAAGAATTATTACTAGAATATTTAAAAAAAAAATGATTACTGTTTACACTTAAACATTTGTCAATGTGTATAGTTAGTATCAATGTAATATTTATTTATTTATTTTTTTGTTACTAATAAAATTATTATAGAAAAATAATAGATTATCGTTCTGCATTACATGTCGATATGTTATATGCATATTGCTATATGTATATTTTTTATGTATAAAATATTTATCTGTTCATATAAGCAAGCATTCTAGCCTTATCTCTACGATCTTTTTCATATTGTGCTGCTGTTTGTTTTGCATTCAATCTTTTTAATTTCGTCTAAATAAAATCATTTAATTTAATAATATTTTAAATTTAAAGTTGCGAAAGTAAGTTATAAATACATACCTTTGGAGGCTGATTAGTTTTTTTCACTCCAATACCAAATCTGTCATTTTTTAATCTTGTTGATATCGGATGTCTTATACCTTGTTCATTTATACCAAGTCCTTTTTCGTAACGCCATCCTTGATCACGCAACATCCTAAATCCTACATTAGTCTATAAATTATTGTATAATTAGTAATAAATTTAAAATGGTATTCAGAGATTATATTAGCAATTAATTATTTTACCTCATTTAATGTTAATGGATCCGGTATTGACTGATCATTAAAGCTTTTTGATATAACAAGATGTGCTATACCATGAATATGATCTTGATATAGGTGCTTTTCTACCCAAACTTCGCAATCTACACACCATATTTTATTATCATCACTTGAATTAAATTTTTCTTCATATTCATTATTCTTTCCTGTTTTTATTGTATCCTCAATGGGTTCGATATGCTTGATGTCTTCCTCCTCCTCATCGTTGTATTCTAATAACTTTGCCAGGCTATTAGAAAAACTCTCAGAATCTTCTATAATATTATTTTTTGTAATAGTTTTATTGTTTATGATTCCTTGTTTCTTACAAGTTATGTTTATTTTATTTTTTCGTACCTTTTTCTTTTTTGTTGGTGGGAGTGAAATAACACTTTGATAAAAATTTGTTACACTTCTAACTATTTTCTCTTTGTCTTCCTCCTCAGAAGTTGAGTGTTCGCCTGCTACACTTTTCAAAGGATTTGAAGGTACAAATGAGATTGGAATTCTTAATAAGGAATACGGTATCTTATCGGACATTTTTTCAACGTTCCCTGTTGAAAAATGGCGAACACTGTTGATCTGCGTATTTTAATTTTTTTCTCTTCTCATGTGACTTGCTTATTAATAATTATAATAGATAATCAGTCGAATTTTTTCTCTGATTTATTAAGAATGGCAGATACACTAGCAACACATTTGGCAGGAATTAAACACATAATAATTGTACTTTCGGGGAAAGGTGGAGTAGGAAAGAGTTCTATAACAACACAACTTGCACTATGCTTGGTTCAGAGAGGAAATAAAGTGGGTATTTTGGATATTGATCTTACTGGACCAAGTATACCACATATGTTGGGACTTGATGGTAAACAAGTTCACCAGGCTTCTTCAGGGTAAATATATAATAACCATAAAGTATTAGTAATCACAAATAATTTCTAAATAATCTAATAATATTCTTTATAAGATGGGTACCAGTTTTTGCAGATGAAAACCAAAATCTTTGTTGTATGTCTATTGGTTTTTTACTACAAAATAAAAATGATTCTGTTGTATGGAGAGGACCTAAAAAGAATGCAATGATTAAACAGTTTTTGGCAGATGTTTGTTGGGGTGAATTAGACTATCTCATAATTGATACACCACCTGGTACATCTGATGAACATATATCTATTGCTGAATATTTAAAAGATATCAATCCGGACGGTGCGGTTATTGTAACGACTCCACAGGTAATAAGTTGGTTTCGCCTTTAAAAGATTCAAGATATTTTTCTCACGTTATAATTTGTTCTAGACAGTTGCCTTAGCTGATGTCCGTAAGGAATTAAATTTTTGTAAAAAAGTAAAACTACCGATATTAGGAGTTGTAGAAAATATGAGTGGATACGTATGCCCTCATTGTGAGGTTTGTATTTTAATTTAGGTCATTAATTCTTGATTTATTTATTTGCTTTATTTATTCATTGATAATTAATGTAAAATGTATAGGAATGTACAAATTTGTTTTCAACGGGTGGCGGAGAAGCAATGGCGCAAGAATTTGGTGTAGAGTTTTTAGGTACCTTCGTAATTTATTGATTTTTTAATATTTTTTTATTTTCGCATTAATTTATTCTTTATAATTTAGGTCGTGTCCCAATTGATCCATCATTAACACTCATGATTGAAAAATCTAATGATGATAGTGCAACATTGGAGAATGGATTGATCAAAATATATACGGAATCTAATTTGTTTAAGGTGTTTAATAAAATTACGGACAGAATCGCGGCGAAAGTTATTACATAAAGAATGTAATATTAACTGTAGTCAATTGTTTCATAACTAAATATTTAAATTTTTGCTATATTAAATAAATCACATGGGATATTTTAGTTAATTTTTTTATTGTTAAAATCATATGATTTAATACGTCAATATATGCAACATGCCGATCGTATTGATTGATTTTCGATTATATAATACCCGCATGAAATAATCTCTAACTTAGCTTTAGGTCATTATTCAGAAATGGTTTATTATTTTACTAGTCAAGGTACAATACTAATTTATTTTTTTCAATATGGTCTTAATTATACGTCACTTTATCAACATACTGGAATTTTTTCTTTTAGAGGTTGATCCTCCGGCTTTGATATACATGGGAAAGGATGAAAAGGAAAGTAAGTGGAATTGTGGTAATTGTGGTAATTGTGGTTTTAAATTTTTTTTAATTCAACGGTTGAACTAATTTATTTCTTTATATCTATTTAATTAGACGAAGATTTGATTAAATATGGGTGGGAAGAAGATGTTTGGTATGACTTGCTAAGTATTTGTTATATTTGATATAATGTACGCACTTGCAATCTCACTTGGATCGGATTAGATGAGATTAATTATGAGAAGGTCTATCCTGATCTATAATTAGAAGGAAAATCCTTGATCCTATGAATATTTAAATTCCAAAATCGTGATTAGAAAATAGCCTGATCCGACCGAACTTGATTCAGTTCAATAAATTTGTGAGAGCGTGCATTCACTATTAAATATAACACGTGAAAATGATAAATTTATCAGTTTGATTTAATTACTAAGATATTTGTTTCATTTTTATTAGGGTATATATATATATTATTTTACATGCATTGAAAATTCCAATTTTTATAATTAATTTTAATTGGTTTTTACCAAATTGAAGTTCCATGTTCATCCACATTCAAGCGCTCATGCGTATCTTAGACTTCAACCTGGACAATCTTGGGAAGATATCTCTCCAAAACTTTTGGAAGATTTAGGTCAATTGACTAAAGCAAATAGTATTAAAGGTTCGTTTTAACTATATATAACGGATATAAATTGAATTTCAATTATTACAATTACAATTCCCTTTTTAATTAATATAGGATGCAAAGAAAAGAGCGTTGATGTTTTATATACTCCGTGGTCAAATCTGCTGAAAACAAACGGTATGGCTACTGGAGAGGTTTCTTTCAAAAATAATGCTATGGTATTTCTCTATTTTTAATTCTTAAAAATATATTAAATATGAAGAAAATTGTTAATTTTTGCATTCTATTTTATTCTAGGTAAAAACGCTGCAGATTAAAAAAAATAACAAAATTGTGAATCGTCTTGAGAAAACAAGAGTAGAAAAATTTCCGGATCTTGAGAAAGAGAAAATGCAAGCTGAAAAAGAAAAAAGGAGGATAGCAAGAGAAGCGATGGTTGCTAAAGTAAGATGTTCATCACTATTCCCAAATATAAATAAATATTAATATTTTATTTGAATTTTACATCCAGAAACAAGAAGAGCTTCGTTTAGAGCAGGAAAAGAAAGAGCAGGAAGCACTGAAGTCTTATGATTCGTTCTTTGATAAATCAAGCATGCGCAGTAATTATGATAATGATTGTGACTTGGAAGAAGATTTTATGTAAAGCAAATAGCATATACATAAATAAATAATAGCACATGTAAAAATTGATCTTTTAATTGCTTGATCATTATTTCGATTTGCATATTTAATGTTAGCTAATTTAATTTGGCAATTGGTTATTCACTGGGAATTTTATAATGAACTGTGTAATATTAATACATATTTGTAATATTAATACATATATTAAAGTTACATTTGCGTAAATGTTTTTAATCACGTGAATCTGTTCCGCCATATCCGCCATATAGCTCTTTCCAAACTTAGTGCTTCTATTATCGATTAGGTTTCGTAGATCGTGTTCGATATTATACATTTAGTATAACGCGTGCAAAGTTAAATTTATCAAGAACGAAAAGTTCGCGTTTGAAATATCGAAAATTTGAAGTCAGACCAATATTCGCGTTGTTTATTTTAAATATAATAGTTATGACTGAAATGGTAGAAGAATTGCTTAAACCTCAAGAAGAGGAGTGGTTGTGTAATTCGAACGAAGCACTTACTATATGGTTTTGTAAGTTGATATTGTTTTGCTGAAAAAAAGATAAATAAGATCTGCTGATATTTTAATCTGTAATGTTTTTTTTAGTTGAGCCTTCAACAGACCCTGATCAGGAATTCGATTCTGCTCAAGTATATCCCATGTTCACGTATTCAATATTTGGCGATAAAGAACAAATTTATGGATATAAGAATTTAGAAATTACGGTATTTTAAGCATAAAAAAAAAATTGTCATTAAGGAACATAAATATATTTATGAATTTAATATTTATTTGTAGCTCAAATTTTCGTCTGGAAGTTTTGCTACCTACTTCGATGTTCGGTATTCTGATAAAATTCCTGATGTTTCTTCAACTTCTATAGCAGATAATGTTATAGATAAAGTTAAGACATTGATACCGAATGGTAAGAAAATTAATTTTAATTCAATAACATTTATTTAAATTTATTATTGTGACATATGATATTTCTATTTTGAAAAGATTATATTACAAATTTTGATACTTTCCTACAAACTGTTAACGAGAATGCGTATAGTTTTAAACCAATGGGTGAAAAAATAACAGAATATCGTCTTGAAGAAGGAAAAGATATAATTTATGAAATTTACAGAGTAATTCTTTAAACCTTATAAATGATGAAATGATGGTAAATATTTATATTTATTTATTAAAGAAAAATGGTCTTTATATATGTAGGCGACATTCAATACACCTAGATTTAAGGAATATCATAAACGATTTCAGATATTAGTATTATTTTATATTGAAGCTGGAACGTACATAGAAGAAGATGAGAAATGGGAAACTATGCTTTTGTATGTTTAATTTTATGAACGTGTATTGTTATATCAAATATATTTTTCACACACATGTTTATTACCTTTGCAGGTTTGAAAGGAAGCGTATAGGAGATAAATATATATATAGTCTTGTAGGGTTTTGCACGATGTACAATTATTACTTTTATAATCGTGAAGAGTGTGTTAATAATAACATCGACCGAACTAATAATAAAGTACCAGTCTCAGAACGCGTCAATGAAGGTAAAGTTATACCAGAAGATATACGATTGAGGATAAGGTAATTAAGTTTTATATAAAAAATTTATTTATTGTTTTTAAATTAATCAGTTCATAATTTTACAGTCAATTTTTAATTTTCCCTCATGTTCAAGGAAAAGGCCATGGAAGTAAGTGTACTATAAGGATAGTTTTATTTGCCGAAGAAAGTTATAATTAATAAAATGTTTTCTTATGTAGGTAAACTCTATCAAACTATATACAAATATGTTTTATCAAATTCAAGAATAAAAGAACTTGCTGGTAATTAAATCTGCTTTTATTATTATTGTTATTTTGTTTTCTATGATTTTTCTAATAATTTGTTTTTATTGCTAATAGTTGAAATTCCAAATGATTCTTTTGAAGTTATCCGTGATAAAAATGATTTATTATATTTGCGGGAACAAAAAGCATTTGAAGGATTAGCAGCTCCTGTTGACAAGAAGACTATTGATTCACTACGGCGAAAATACAAATTAAATAAAGTTAGATTTTAATATTATTTTTTGAAATAATTATTATATACATATATATTAAATTTGATTGAAATTTTTAATTTGTAGCGACAATTGCTTCGATGTTTGGAAATTGAATTATTGAGAAAATTAAACAAGTCGGATGCTGCTGCTTATAAAGCATATCGATTACAAGTGAAGGAACGATTATATAACTGGAATAAGGTATGTATTATAAATAATAAATTTTATCTTGTCATTTTTTGATAATATATTAATGACTTTCTTATAGGAAATATTAAAAGATATTGATAGAGATGAGCGCATAGAAAAATTGGAGGAAACATTTAAGAGTCTTGTAGAAGAGTATCAAGATATTTTGTTGAAATATAATTGAATTATTTTATAATTTACTTTTTATGGTATGATTATCAAAGTTAATTTGTTATGCTTCGAAATTTATATTTCAATTTGAAGTAAAGAATATATTCAAACATTTTTTTTTGATTTTACATTATTAAAAAATTGCATTAGTTTGAATTTCTTTCTAATAAAATATTAAAAATTCATCAGTAATTATCAGGATTTAAGAATATATTTTTTATTCAAGTTAATTTTCCATTTGTAAAATCATCAGAAGTCTTTTAGTTGGATAATTATTGCTTGGCATTTGATTATAGACTCTATATATTGAGAATAATCAAGTAATCATCTAATTTATTCTTATATTCTATCAATAATTAAAATAATTTAAGCTTTTGCATAAGATTTATTTTAAACTTTAAATTAGCAGATCTTTATCCTTGAAATTAAATTATTATTTATTGATTGCAAAAGTATTTTGAATTAAGCTTTGAATGTAAAAATAATGATTATAATATAAAAATGAAAAATCACTCATAATATTATAATTAAATGCAAAATAATTATCATATAATATTGAAGTAATCATATCCTTTTACTTTATTTTTTTAATGCCAAAATGTTATAATTAAATTATATAAAAGTAAAATTTGAGTTTAAGATTAATATAATATAAAAAATATTGTAAAAATGAGAATGATTTATATAAAGTAGTATAAATTTAATTTAAATTATCCTTTTATTGAATTAGTTTATATATAGAGATAAATATTACAACTAGACTTTACTAATTGCAATCTGCAACTTGCAATTACAATAATAACTTTATATATAGCCATAATTTTGCAATTATTTAATAAATAGTTGAAATGTCAACTTCATTTATATATATATAATTCTAATAAATATAATTAATTTTACAAAAAAAATATATATTTTTTTTATAATTAAAATTATTAAATAATATATAAATTGTTTAATTTTAAATTTATAAGAAAGTTTAATTTAATATATTTATTTTAATTATTTTAATTAACATTTTACTATGAATTTTATTTTTATATAAATTTCAGTTTACAATAATTTGTTTATAATATAATTTCTTTTTATTAAGATATAGTATTTTTATAATATAATTAACAATTAAAACTCATTAATTTATAAATATTTTAAAATTAAAAATATCTTATTTAATAATCTTTAATATTTAAAATATTTTAAAATATTTGAGAATTTTTCTATAATGGATTAGATTAATCTAATAAAATTAAGAAATTAAATATTTAAAAAAAATGAAAAAAAATGAGATAAAAATCAATAATAATAATGAAATTTTTTAATAATAATAATAATATTGAATTAATAAATTTAACATATTTGATAGTTTTATAATATTGTTAATGTAATTTTATCAGAAATTTCAGTAAAAATTTTTTTTTTAATAGAAATCAATCTATATATATGCTTTTAATATCAGAAGTATATATAATAAATATTTTCTTTAATAATGATTAAGATACTGTATGTGATAATGTTTGAATTTTCTTTTATTGTTTAATGAGAATAAAATTTTTTCTCTTCTTTCATATTTTATGTTTTAAATATAAAAGTTTTATTAATAATAAATTATATAATGCATTTGTTCATGTGATATTTTTTTTTTTTGATTTTTTTTATTTAAATCACCTTCTATTAAAATAGCAAATTAGATTAAAATGGGATATAATAACAGATAAGTAAAAACAAAAAGAAGGGTGGAAATGGAATTATTGTTTATTAAAGTTTTAGTGTTAAAGGGGAGGAGGGGTGATAAAAAAGAATGCATAAACATTAAAAATGTTTTTTTTTTTGTTTTTTTTTTCAAAATAATAATAAATGAATGTTGAAGAAAATTAAAATTTCGAATCAAAATTACAACCATTTTTACGCACCAAATCAGTACCAAATCACTCTAAAGAGAAAAAATTCCGGAAAAAAAAAATATATATATATAATTTATATTAAAAGACCAATATCTTTCCTTAATACAAATCTAACTTTATAAGGGTAAGGAGAGAAAGAAGTTAAAGAAAGATTTCCATCATTTATATTAATATTTAAAGGAGTTATACCATCATCACCAACACCTGGTTTAATTTCAAAAGCCCATAGAATATAAGCGATAGCAAGGAATAGTTGTTTTTGAGCCAAATGTTGACCAATACAATAACGTCTTCCAGCACCGAAACTCATATGCATAGGCATAGAAGAATTAGTTAATGAAGGACTATTATTTTTCAACAAACCTTTTAATGAATTTCTCTTATTTCGCATTTCAGCTTCAATACCTGAATCAAAATCAAATTGAGGTAATAAAATACTTTTACTTTTAACTGAACCAGTAGAATAATTTTGTAAGAAACGAGAAGGACGAAATTTTTCAGGGGTAATAAATCTTCTTTCATTATGATTTATGGCAAATAAATTTAATAATATAGGAGTATTTTTTGGTATAAAACAACCATTATATTCATCATCTTTGTTAGAAACATGAGCAAAACCAAAAGGGGTAGGAGGTCTATATCTTAATGATTCATTAATAATAGCGCTAATATATGGTAAATCCGCTTCATCATCAAAAGTTGGTTTGTTTTTACATAATTCATCTATTTCTTGAAAAGCTTCTTCTTGTACTCCAGGATTAATTGCTAAACATGCTAACGTCCACATTAAAGTATTTACTTCAGTTTCCATAGCTCCATTAAGTAAACCAATCAACATTTCCCAGATTTCATGATATTCTATGGTATTATTTTCTTTTTCGGCAATCGCATCTTGAATTTGTAAAAGAAAACTTGGTGGAAGTTTATTATCTTGATTATTTTGAGCATAATCCCTTAAGAATCGATCATATTTTGAAGAAAAGATTTGTTCCATTCTTTTATGTAATCTTTCTGCTTTATCGGTATTTGGTTTATACACGAAATTTAAAGCGGGCTTTAAAAAAAAAAATAGAAGAAAAAGAATTAATATAAAAATTAGGAACTAATAATTATATTATATTACAATTTCTATATAATACATACCATAATATCATATATAATACTTTTAGGAGAAGAAAATTCGGATATATCATCCATGACTTCCATAACATCATTAAAAAAGTCGACATCTTGACCTGATTGACCACCAAATAAAATATTCAACATATTTGATAAAACAAATTTTTTAATAAGTTGTAAAGGGTAAATAGAACCACCATTTTTCATCATTAAATCTTTAAGAAGGATATCTGAATCATTATAAATATATTTATAATAAGCTTTAATAGGACGAGAAGTAAGAGCACTATAAGCAATAGATCTATCTCTTTTCCATTTATCACCATAAGGAGTTAAAGCGATTAAATTACTTTTAATCAAAATAGAATTTGTATTATGAAAATTATATCTTGAAGAATATAATGAACCACATTTTACTATAAGGTCATTTACTACTTCATGATTATTTAATACAATAAAATGTCTTTGTCCTAATTCTATACTATAAATTGGACCAAATTCCTTCCTCCATTTATTAAGTTTTTCTAATGGTCGAGTTCTCAATTGTAACAAATTTCCTATAAACGGAAATGGACGTGGATGTGGTAAATTTGGTAGTTTATTGGTCTGGTTTTGTTTTTTACGTAATACGACGAATTTTGCCAATAAAATAATTCCAAATTGCAATAAAAAAATTGCTATAAGGGAACGTAAAAATTCCATTATCGAAAACATTTTTATATATTGTAAGTAAGTAGAATGAATTAAGTATTATCTCTTTAGAATTAGGAAGAAAACTCCGTTCCTTATTTCTCAATTTTGATTCGAAATAATATTTTCGTTCAATTTATTATTATTTTATTATTTTCTTTTTTTTTTTTTTTTGTTTTTAGAAATATGTATTAGTTATTTTTATACGAAAAAAGTGCTTAAAAGGGGAGTATGTAAAAAAATTTTTCATTTAGGATATAAGCATAAAAAATGTTCATTCTAAGATTAACATGATAATCGTATCCACATTTTACCGAAAATCCCATAAATCAGAAAGAAAAATGATGATTAAGGAAATTATCAAATTCCAAGTGATCAATTATTAAACTTATTATAATGTGAATATCATGAGTATTGAGATATTTAATAAATGTGTAACATTGCTCCAGGTTCTCAAATACCTGTCTCTTATACACATCTAGATGTGTATAAGAGACAGATTTAAAATTGGTCATTTATCAAAGGTAATATGAGAATACTTTTAAGGGGTACAATTTTTTTTTTTTTTCTTGGCGAATTTATCTTGTATCAAGGGTTAAATGAATACAATTTAATGATACTCTTTTTTTTCTTTTTTTTTTTTCCTTACGAATTAACGAAATTCTCTTTTTTAATCATCCTTTATAAATGAATAAATGAATATTGTTAACACAATGAATAATTATTTACGTGTTATATAACACATACCAGTGAAAAAAAAAAAAAATTTTGAAATAATTAAGGATGATAAATACATAATAATTTGATTTTATTTTTATATATATATAAATGGAATACAATTTTAATTTAACGTTATTCTTCTCTCCATTTAAGGGAAATTAAAAATTAAAGATAAATTGAAGATAATAAAAAAATCAAATCTCTTCTATTAGATCATCAATTTTTTTGGACATTTTTGGTCTAACCCCAGATATTTTTTAGGATCAAATTCTATATTCGGTTTGATTCAAAAAGTAATGAATTAAATTATCGTTTATCATAATCTTTTATATAAATTAGGAATATGAAATTTAATGAAATTTGTAACCGTCTATCATTTACATATCTCTATTCTCCATACAATAACTTGTGTAACTTAAAGAACCTAGTAGTAGATGATGATGTAATCGTTTCATTGACCCATTATATCAGACCAAATTTAAAAATTTCTTTTTTTTTCTATATCAACATTTTTTTTTTCTATTTTAAAAAATAAATAAAATGAAATTTTTCTTACATTTCCCCTTATGAGATAATAAAGTTGAATAATTATTACCAAAATAGATAAGTACAGTTTGAGCTTCATTAAAATAATTAATCGCTTGAAATTTATACATAATTTTTACAATACTCAGAAATTAATTAATAATTTCGTGATCAGGTATACATAACAGGGGTCTGACTTTTTATATACAGTGTATTTTGGTATCTAAGATCCTAGTATGAAAAAATTAAAATGGAAATTAGTAAGAGCCAACTGACGAGAGTTTGGAACCGATCAGAGTCACTTGACCTCAACTGAATATGACGTATTGATATCATAGGACAGGGTGTGTTCATCCGTATCAATGGCTCTACTGAAAGCGACTTCTTTTGCTCAGCCGTCTTATTTATTTGAGGAAGCAATAAAATCTGGTCAACAGGAAATCTTAGACTGGTATAATTATTCCCTTGAATTTTGAGAGTAAAATAGAAGTTCTTTTAACTGATAAGATAAAACAGCAAGATCAATGATTTACAAGGAAATGAAACTATTTCTCCCTAATATTACATTACGAAAATATCAGATCAAAACGATCATCAGAGTCATGTGACTTTAAAAAAGGGGCACGCAAAATTAAACATATACCGTCTCGTGACTCTCGTCCCTGTATTGAACAAATCAGTACAGTTTAGCAAAAAATAGATTTTACTAATAAACACGTCCCAACCAGCCCAGCACGTGACCATAGAAGGTAGGTGTAACAAATAGGATTTTGACTACAGATACTTATGGATTAGGTCATTAGGGTGTGATGGTGGTGACAAATAAAATCTATTTTTAGAAGCGACTGATCTGACCGTACAGTACCAATGAACCTGAATGATTTCCATATTTCATTTGATTCGGTACACAATTAAATCAGAAAGAAGTCAGAATAAGGAAATCGGATTTATTAAATCCGGATTGAACCGAAGGAATTCGGTTTTATTCGGATTTAAAAAATAAATCCTGTTCGAAACTCTAGGTCGGGTACCGTATAACGGGGGCCACAGTACCCCGGGTATGATACAGATTTCAGAGGTTTTGACCTTATACCCCCCACCATTGTGTGAGTTTTTATTATTAGTAGATATGTATAAAACTTATATAATAATTGGGTATTTATCATGAGTAATACCTAGGTATTTATTAAATTATTTTAAATAATAAAATCGGTAGAAAATGGGAGTTCTTTTTTGTAGGGTACTGTGCATAGGGGGGGTACTGTGGCCCGCAAAATACGGTAAATAGAAGTGAAAAAAAGTACTTCAGTGACTTCTCACTGAGGAAGGTATAGAAAAATGTAGTATAATATTGGATGGAATACATCTCATAAACCTTTTATTTCAAAAGTTTCGATGGTCGGCCATTCTTTAGGTGAATTATTTATCGCTGTTTTCAAAATGGTATATTCGTTTATAAATCATGGTTATGTGATATTCGAATATATCATGTGATTCGAATATACTATTTATTACAAATAATTGTAACACAGTTCTTACGCCTAGCATTTTAATTTTTAATTAATTTATTTAGATATTTCCGTCAAATTATTAATTAAAAAAAGAGTAATAGATATTTTTTGAGAGATTCGAGATTTGAATATCATGTGAGATTCGAATCATATTCGAATTTACATTTCTTTCAAATGGAAACTCTAAATGGTGTACGCAGTTTATTTGTGATTGTATATTCGAATATCAATATTCGCCCGGTTTCGTCCATTTTTTGTCCATATTTCGTCCGGTTTTCGGTTTCTTTTTTTTTTATTCAAATTTAACTGAGTACATCATTTTGAAAACAGCGATAATTTATTTGTTGCAGGTTATTAACAAAGTGTTACAAATGGAACTTTCTTCGAAAAAATAGAACCGATTCATTTTATTTACGCGTAATAGCAAAAAAAAAAATTATTTCCGTTTATAGTAAAAGTAATAGTAATGAAATTTGTGTGATTTTATTGATCCAATCAAATGTCTTTATACATATTATGCGCAGAATATATAGGATTGTGCACATCGATTTTTTGCATTATAAAACCTTTTTTTCTTTTAATTTCAAATAATATTATGCCATATCGGAAAAACACAATAAATGAGGGACCTGTAAGGAAATGTTTTTTTTGTTCTGTACCAGGGTTTTTAGTAGAGTTTATATGTAAATCGTGTCAAAATAATTATTTAAAAAAAATTTTAAAAATTGGACCAGTGGAAATAAAAGAATTAATTGGTTTATTCGACAAAAGCAATTAAAAATTAAATACCGACGCGAAATATTATTTGAATGGATACCATACGATAGTTTTGGTGATATTAAAGAGATAAGAAAAGATGATATTATTACAATATATTCAGCAATATGGAAAGATGGCCAACTACGTTATGATTTGCCCACAAGAGGATATGTAAGAGTACCTAATATTAAAGTTGGTTTAAAGTGTTTAGATAATCCACAAAATGAGATTCATGAAATTCTGAAAAAGGTATGTGATTTATTTATTTATTTATCTATTTTTATCTATTTTTAATAAAATAATTTTTAAATACATATATAACAATAGATCGAACAATTTTCGACTAATAATAAAGATCTTAAAATATATGGATTATCACAAAATCCAAATACAAATAAATATATCATAGTTTTACAAAATGGATATTGTAAAGAATGTGGTGAAAAATATACAAATATAATGTACTATTGGTGTAAACCATGTCATATAAAAAATTTTACAAGTGGAAATGAAGAAATTGATGATTTTATTCATGAAACGCAATCACAGATTCATGATTCATCTGATATAGTGGTTGAATGGATATCATACAATCAGTTTAATAAAATTGAAGGGGTAGGAAATAGCGATTCTGCTACAATATATTCAGCAGTATGGAAAGATGGTCCATTACATTATGATATTATGACACGGAATTGGACAAGAAATTCTAGTAAAGAAGTTGCTTTAAAATGTTTAAACAATTCACGAAATGACATTAACAGATTTTTAAGTGAGGTACGAACTATATATAAAATGAATCTTTTTTTTTTTAATTATAATAATTATAATAACTTTTTTTATTTAATAGGCTAAAAAATATTTAATAAAAAATAATGACTGCCATGAAAATAAAATATATGGAATATCTCAAAATCCAGACACAAAAGATTATATTATGGTTCTCGATAAATATTTTGACGAGTATTGTGTGAAATGTGATAAAACATATACAAAGACAGAATATAAGTGGTGTAAACCATGTCAGATAGTTTACTTAAAAGGAAATTTTGTGAATTGGACCAGCGAAAATAAAGAAATTGATAATTTCATTCAAGAGACGCAGTTAAAAATAAGCTATAATAATATAACATTGGAATGGATACCATATAACCAGTTTTACGATATTGAGGAAATATGCAAAGGTTGGTTCTCCACAGTATATTCAGCAATATGGAAGGATGGCCCATTATATTATAATTTGAAAGAAAAGAAATATATAAGAGAATCAGATAAAGTGGTTACCCTGAAATGCTTTAATTACTCACAAACTATGATTGATGATTTTTTAAATGAGGTATGAGTTTTCTTTATAAATTTTAAATTCTTCTCTTTAATTATAATTTTTTTTTTATTAATAGGCTAAAAATTATTTAATAAAAAAAGATATTTTGAGTAAAGATAAAATATATGGAATAACTCGAAAACCAAATACAGATGGTTATATTATAGTTCTTTATAATGAATATTCTCAAGAATATTTTAAAGAATGTTATGTAAAATATAGTGGAATTATTGGACAGAGAAAAATTTTTACAAATTGGATCAGTGGGAATGAAAAAATTGATGATTTGATTCAAGAAATGCAATCAAAAATTAATCTTTACGAAGATATCTTATTTGAATGGATACCATATAATCAGTTTAGTGATATTGAAAAAATAGGTCAAGGTGGTTTTTCTACAGTATATTCAGCAGTATGGAAGAATGGCCCATTACGTTATTATAAAGATAAAAATAAGTGGATAAGAAATTCAGATAAGAAAGTTGCATTAAAGTGTTTAAATAATTCACAAAATATCAACAATGAATTTTTAAATGAGGTAATTATACAATTTTAATCATCAAAACATTTTATGATATGTAATAATATTTATATATAAATTTTTTTTTTAGGTTAAAGCATATTCAGTTAATAATTTTGATAATTCCGGTAAAATTATTGGAGTATATGGAATATCTCAAAATCCACTCACAAAAGATTATATTATGATTCTTCAATATGCGGAAGGTAGAAATTTTAATTATTGGATGAATAAAAATTCAAAATATTTTGATTGGTTTATTAAATTGAAAGTATTAGATAATGTAATTAATGGTCTTAAAGAAATTCATCAAAAGCAAATGGTTCATCGTGATTTTCACATAGGAAATATATTATTTAAAGAAATACATTTATTTACTTCAAATTATATTTCAGATATGGGATTATGTGGAGAAATTGGTAATATAGATGAAACAAATATTTATGGAGTTATGCCTTATGTAGCTCCTGAAGTATTAAGAGGTAAACCTTATACTCAAGCAGCAGATATATATAGTTTTGGTATGATCATGTATTTTACAGCGACTGAAAGACAACCTTTCTCCAATTGTGCACATGATCATCTTCTAGTATTAGATATATGCAAAGGAATTAGACCTGAAATAAATGAGCCAGAAGCACCTGGATTTTATATTGATTTGATGAAAAAGTGTTGGGATTTAAATCCTGTCAATAGACCGAATATTGCTGAAATAGAAAAAACCATTATTTCATTTTATAATTCATATCGTTCACAAGATGATAATGAAATTAAAAAGCAATTTCAAGAATCAGAAAAATATAGAAGTATTAATAAGAACGGAAAACCACCTATTCATCCCCAAGCCATATATACATCTCGACTACTTAATCCTTTTACAGAGGATCTTGATAATGAATGTTTAGACTGTAAAATATAATAAAACAATATGTATGTAGCCCGTAGCTAGTTAGGAGAAATTATTATACTTACATAGTTACATTTTATTAAATATTTTATACAATAAAATAATTATAATTTATAAATAGCTTAGTCCCCATATATTGTGGGTTACAATCTTTTCAAATTTTAGGTGGTATAAACATACTACGCGAGTTTATTGAACTATAATTGGTGGCCAATCTGTAACAATTTGGGGCTACATAACCATTTTAAAGGTGTGTATTGTTGCCACTTTCTAAAATTACTTTAATGCATTTATGTAATCTTGCATTGAATGTAACTGTTGTTCTTTCATTCCAACTAGGCGTACATTTTCCATTGATCGTTCATCTTTATTTTCTAAATAGCACTATCATAGCTATGTACTGTAAGTAATTCAATACGATCATTCAAATTTACGTGCTGTGTATGATCTATCAAAGATTCCATAATATTTATGAATTAAACGATTATTAATATTATATACATCTATATTCGTAGGATTATAAATTGGGAATTTGTGGGTAGCTAGTTATTTGTTTACATATACATGTTGTCATATGATGACCTGTTGAAAGCCAAGTAAGCATTGGAACTTCTTTTTTCTTTAATTGAATGAAATCAATACAGTATGTATAAAAAATTACTCTAATAAAGAATGCTAAGCAAAGTATTAATATCATAATTACTATTAAAATTATATGTTAATATACTGTATATTTACATTTTGTTGAAAATATTCTTTTATATTAGTTTTATGATCTCGTGCAATTTTTGTTTTATGTAAATCAACTGTTCCCGCACATACTGATACTCCAATTTTATGCATTGCATCTATAGATTCATTAGTTGACCCAGTTGAATCTAAAAATAATCCAATATTTAATGCAAATTTATTAGCAGACATATTTCGTTGTGCCACCATAATATAACAAATTGCTACAATTTTTTTTTGTATGCTGAACGTGTATTAGGTATTATTGCATTCACCATGCATCATGTCAAAAAATCCTATTAAACGTGAATCCGCTTCCTCAATCATAACCTTAAATGCTATAAGATTTAATAATAACCTGACATGTTCTTTTTTGCTGTTTTTTACGTAAAACTTCTGTAAGCAATCGTATACATTTCTTAGTTTATTTGTTGGTTAAATAGTTTAATAGTTAGTTTGTCCTTTTCTCATTTTCACGAAAAATTTTATATTACGCACTTAATAATATCCGGCAATAAATGACGTAATATAATCAGATTTTTCATGTTACACGGATCAATTTTTTTAAAATTTTTAAATTTGTCTTTAAGCAAATTTTAAATGATCACTTTTAACGTAAAATTAAATTATTTTCGACCAAATAAATTATCAAATAATATGTTTGCTTTTTTTTCACGATCATTATCTTCAATATTTTCCTGAATAGCATCATATTACAATTGACACATTTTAAAATGTTTCACCGCATGATGAAAACATGGGTTTACCTTCAAATTTTTATGACAAGTCTATAGATGGTTTAAGAACAAAGTTACGTTAAATATTTCTCTTTATCATATAAAACTTTAGAGATTTGGTGCTTTATTAGTTCAAATTTTCTTTTAAGCAATTATATCAAATCATTTTTAAAACCTTTGTAAAAAAAAAAGTAATTACTTTGAGATTAAGAACAGTTTTCAACCAAAAGAAAGTTGAAAAATGTACACAATATTCGCAAGAAACTTTTAGAGTCTTGAGTTTTATTTCATAAATTATTATAAAAAAGTTTATTTAATAAATTTTATAGTACAAAATCTGGTTATAGTAATATAATCAATGTTGCTGACATAGTTTTGATTAATTAGGCGACGTCTCACCCTAGCGTCAAGTGGTCAAATGATCGACACCAAATTAAAAACGTTCGCATTACATAAGTTTTTGCTTTTTTCTTTGCAACGAAGGCAGATTAGTAATCATGTAATCTGTCAAACTTCACCGAATCCTGCAAAATAAGCAGAATCGATGGTATATGTTAAATTTTTTTCTGATAATAAATCTCGAAGAGCGATTCTAACCCGCAGTCCCCATTAACTGGGATTATCCCGTATCATAACTGGGACTGTTACTAACAGGCTTAGGTAAACGTTATTCTTTTCTGTCGATGATCAATTCTAACCTGTATACACTAGGATAAATTAAAAATTGACGATCTTGATGTATTTTAATCAAACAAGGTTCGGCTCTCTGGGGGGCTCAGAGAAAAGATAGGGAGCCACCCTATGGCCCAAACTCAATAGAAGTAATGCGATCGATTCCTGGGACGCCATAATGGTGAAAAGAATCTATGTTAGTCTATTTATACTTACAATACCATGGTAAGGCCGTAAGGGCTGAATTGATAAGGTAGCATACTGTGTCATATGATAACCATAAATTCTTCTTCATGGGATCTACCGGCTAATTATATGATAATTTCAATGACGTAGCAGCGCAACATATACTGCGCCTTTAGCATCGAATTTGCCGAAGAATCTTTGGATGAGATCTCCGAAGAATACCAAACATTACGAGCGAAAGTGCATGAGGAAGATTCTTGGTATAATCGTTGGGTTGTTAAAGAATTGGTCATGCATGGATGATGAGCCAGAAGAGAAGAGGACTAGGATAGAGGTTATCATTTGAAAAATTAATCGTGTATGATAGTCTGCGAACGTTAGCATAAAAACGGGCTTGCATCCTGAACCATTATATTTATATTTGCGTGTATCAATAAAAATTTTTTACGCACAATAATTGAGAGTCTTCACATTTACCACATGACATCAGGCAAACTTGGCTCAACGTCATATGTAACAGTGTAGACTGGTCTATTTGTTCTGGAACGTTCTATGAATTAATGATGTCCCTTGTTAATTGTAAACAAAAATATAATGCCTGTTATTCTTAATATTCACCGGAAATCAAGTCCGGACACCTAGAAGAATCCCCGGACAGAAGTTTTAAAGTTAGATCATGTGAACTGATCACCTGAAATGACCAATACTATACAAGCTTTTCTTTTATTTTACATTGTTAGAGCAAGGGTGGTTTACAGAATTAGATGAATTTCGCAAACTACTTTAAGAATTTATTTGCAACATAAAATCTTTGCTACCAATATAATAACTAATTTATATTTATAATGACTAATTTATATTAAGTTCCTTTTTTTAATTTCATTAGTTCTATCCTTTCGCGCACAAGTTTTACTTCGCGTTCTTCAATTGATAACTGGCGTTCCCTTAATAACAATCTTTGATCTTCATCTTGTGCAAATCAGTTAGTTCTTCCAATAATCCTTGATATTTGTCTCACGTCAAATCAATTACAGCTTCAATTTTTTTCAATTTAGGAAATTCTGGTTCAGCATGATGAAAAAGTGTAAATAGCACTCTTCTGCAAAAAAAATCGCCATTACAATTCTCACGTGGCTTATTGACCATAGCTTCCAAAAGATCAAATAATTTATATAATGGTGCTTTGAGATACTTTAGCTCGACAGGAAATATGGTATTTTCAATTCTTCTCGCGTTTCATAAATTGATTTTCCTTTTTCAACATGGATAAAATAATTACCATCCTTCCTGAACTCTTGTAATTTCATGTATTGTTGAAAGGTAAATCCAACCTTAGCTTTTTCTAAGACTTCTTTAAGTTGACTCCCAATTTCATCTTCTTCTAGTGGTAATTCTTTATCTTGTTGAGCCATTTGCTCCTTCGTGATTTTACTACAAAGATTCTCAATTTTCATTTCATTTCTAATCTAAAATTTAAATTTTTTTGGGGTGTCCAATTCTTTTTGTACAATTTGAGTCTCTGTTTTAGCTCAGAATTTTCCTGTTTTAATTTTTTATTCTCTTGCTTCAGTTCGCTAATTTCAACAAAAGAATTTTTAAAAGATTCATTCATCATGTTTAATTTCTAGGTCGTTTAATTTAGACACATCAATAGATTTATTTCCTAACTCTTTTTTAATATCGCTAAGAGATTTCGAAATGTCTTCAACCAATCTTTCCTGGGCTGTAACAAATAAAAAAAATGTTATCTGTCGCGTATTAAGTTTTTTTTGATATTAAAAACATCTTTATTTACTTAATAATTTTTCTTTCTTTTTTTCTCTTCTCTTCTTATTTTTTTCGTAGTGTTTTCCTCGTTCCATTTTACGCTTTATCAAAGAGTTAGTAAGAAGTTTATTTGATGAATATTTATCAGTATATAATTATATATATATTATATATACGTGAAATTGACATCATTTTAATCATTTTAATAATCATCATGATATATTAAAAAAATAATTTTTATAAGGGGTAATGTTTATTTTAATTAAACGATAGGTAAATAAACCACATGTAAGTCTGTATGACGAAATTTTATGCGTAATTGTTAGCGGGAATATCTTACTGCGACACTACTAGCGCTATAAAAACAAGCAAGACCGGAGGAAATTACGTAGGTAATTTTTTTCGGAAAATTCCTAAGCCACGCCGATCACATTTTATTTTCTATTTATTTTTATATTTTAACTTTTTTTTTTAATTAATATTTTAATTTTTTTTTATAACAGCTCGATAGATTACTGCTGAGGAGGACCTAATCGACAACACAAAAAGCAGTGATATTTACAACATGCAACCAGCACGCAACAGAGCCCTAAAAATACTTGCATTAAATATATGGCAATACTTCCCAGAGGAGGTTCTTCGTGAAGAGCCAGATTTTTTGTCGATTAGATCCAACAATACCATCGCGGATTATGGGCCGTGTGGAGAATGTGATACTCCCATTTTAACAGAAGACCCACTCAGATCGCTCGTTTTAAACGTTTGTGGCAATATGATCCATCGGACTTGTGCGAAGCAATGTACAAAGATGAAAATTACTTTGCTCATGTGGCGTGGCCGATTATAGTGATCCATTATTACCTTTCATTGTTGAAGTCTTGATGATGCCGATGGTGGTAGAGAAAAGATCAGTACTTTCTCTTATTAATCTTAGAAACCTTAGATATAATATCCTCATGTTACCCGCTCCTTCATATAAAAATAAAAAATTTCTGATTACTTTATCGCAGAAATCGGGTTGGTTTAAGCTTGTCACACTACTTCCAATAAGATTTAGAATAAAAAATCATATGACTGAATCTGAATTTGCTGACTGCCCGGGCCGGGAGATAAAATTAACCGGACTATCTGATAAACCTACATAGTACTAAATCACGGGATGATCTACTGTGCATAGTTTTGTGTATCAAATCAGCGCTACAGAAAAATTTTTTTATACATAATTTCAATGCATTTTTTTTTCTTTCGTTCTAGCACAAAAAATGAATCCAATATTTATTATGATATAAGTTGATAAAGAATCGCTAGAATTCACTAAAAACGTTATAATCACCGAAATTGCTATAAACTGCTTATGTTCGTAAAATGGTTAAAACTAACTACTATTCTGGTTTGATCCTGAAGTAGCGCAGACGTTGAACAATTTGAAATATAGGTATAGTAATGAAACACCAGAAATGTGGTATTCTCATATTCGTTATTTATTTAGGACACTTCTTGAAAATAACCTAAAATATTTTTCCAAGAATGGATTTATCCATATGACTGAAAGATCATATATAAATCATGCTTGGAACTTGGGTTGTCCAAAATCATTATACTGTACTGTGGTATAGTTGCTTTGCGAAACCTGGCTGGCCGTTGTGTCTGGACTGCTATTTTATAATAAACCATATTAATCACTTATTAAAAGCTTGTCAAAATAAGATTTTAAAATAAAAATGAAGTAGATGCAAATTAACAAAGTTTTAAAACAATAAATGATTTGTTTAAATATATAAATAAATTGTAATATAACCAATAAATAATCAGTAGTCTTATTATGACTTTGCAAAATATAGTATATCAACGAATTTATCTTAGTTTTATTTATGAAATAATTCTTTAAATTGTATCATATTGCTTAGTTATAATGAATGTCTCAATTTCTTCAATACCATGAACTTCATTTGCATTCAAGCTATTTTCGTAATTATGGTCACTATTGTGATCTCTTATATACAATGAATTACCAAATGATAATCGCATATAGCCTTATCGTAATTTATCACACGACTTATTTTCATATTTTTTGAGTATCTTTTTCAAATGAAAAAAATGAATAATAGAATGGTAGATTATTATTATCAATACGTAAAAGACTATTTACAATTGAGTGAAATCCAATAGAACTGTATCCTCCAAAGATTTTATTTGAATATTTAACTTTAATCAAAACCAGACTTTCTACTTGGCCTTTACATTTATTTTTAAATGATTTAGCACTACCATTAATACTACCACGATAAGTAAGATCGAACTTATAACGTGAAATCCAGAAAACTTCTTTATTAATCCATTTAAGAATTATTTTTGCAAGTTTTGGTTTGATAATCTTTGAATCAAATTTCCTTATTCTAGATGGTAGAGTTGCTATTTTTGGGAAGGTACTTTTATTATAAAATTCTTCAATTTCTTCATAAATTTGCTTGATTAGTAATACAGTGACACCTCTCTAAGTGCACCCTCCTTGGGACCATAGTAAAAAAATAGTAGAATGTGCACTTAGAGAGGGTGTGCATTTATAGAGAGTAAAATATTAAGAGCTCTTATAAGTTGGGACCAGGCCCACCGTGCACTTAAAGAGAATTTATATAGTACGTGCACTTATAGAGGGTGCACTTATAGAGGTGTCACTGTAATATTCTTATATAGTTTGATTTTATAATTAAAATCATTAAAAATAATATCCACAAATCGAATGAGAGGAATAAATTGATTTAATATTTCTTTTAATGTTTCATAATCCTTATTGATTGGAATAGCAATTCTCATTTCCCAAACCAAGAGTCGGCTCAATACCTCATTTGATTAAGTTATCCCAAACAATAACTTTTCTAATTTGTAAGTCTTTTCAGAACTCACTCTTCTCTCTCAAACACGTTATAAATAATATCTTTATCTAGAGAAAAAAACTCATTTGAATAAAAAATGAGTGCGGATCTGCACAAATAATATCTTGTAATTCCTTGCAATTAGTAATTTTAAATGCAACATGTAAAACAAGATAATAATTTTTTAGAATCCACTCATTTCTAAATAATCTTGAACATAATTAAATAATTCTTCAATGAGTAATTCGTCTGATACGATTAGTAATTCAAGAATATCTTTGCCAGATTGTTCAGTTAAATCAAGTATAAATATATCTAAATATATATGTATATTATTATTGCATTATTATTTTTTTTTTAATGAATATATTTAATTAGTAAGAATATTTATCATTTTTCTTTGTAATCCAATTAGATGAAAGAGCAATTTTGAAATAAGGCTTAAAATTGCTAAATGCACTTGAAATTCTTTTATATTTTCATTTTCTCCAACTTTAATAATAACATTATAATCATCAGCATCATTTAACATTTATGAGAGGTTTTTCGAAAGATCAGAATAGAAGAGTGTAGTCATTTTAAGAATGAAAATGAAAATGTAAGTACAAGAAGTACAAGTTATCAATGACGATTTTTTTGTCAAACCTATAATTTTTCAATAAACTTTGTTCATCTGACTTCTTGATTTTTTATTTAGTCAATAATGAGGCTATTTTAAATAATTTAAGTGCAAATGAAATTAATATAATTGAAGAATCGAAACATTTATTATAGTAAATTTAATAATTACGTCGGGAGTCATAAATCCAAACATCCGGTTTCCCGTATACAATTTCAGCTATTTATGGACTCTTAACAATCTTTTAACTAACCATCATTTGTATCAAAAGAAAAAAGTCATGGGAAAACTATTAGGATTTGTAGTATTGAAGTATAAAAAGATATACAGTATGTACATTATGTTGAATATTGAATTTTAATTAACCAAAAATGAGTGTTTGAAGGTATCAATAAATTTACTTCAATTTAAAGAAATTATTAGCAATTTTTGAATTATATGAATACTAAACTACTCCAGCACTAAATATCTCATATAATTATAGTTCATTTTAAAAATTGAGCAGGTGGATCAATAAAAAAATACAGTATATTAACTTAGATAAATTCACTAGGATATAGAAATTCAAAGAAATTAATTCTCAATCGATTTGCAAATACCATTATAGCACGAGTTGAAATTTTTGACGTTCTTATTTTTTGGGGTGAGCTGGCTAAGATTTTTTTAATAATTTGTTGATTTACCCTGAAAAATTTTATCTAATCATTTCCATTTCTATATTTCTATAGCAGATATTCTGTCAACGTCAGTGGCGACACATTACCATGTGACTAGCCTTGTAAATACAACAGCGATTAGCTGTTACCGAAAAATTTTAAGTTAAAAAAATTAGCCAATCAAAAATAAGCCAACCAAAATGTTTATCACGTGATAGGGTGAGAAATAAATTCACCTTTGTTAAAGAATGCAATATTTTAAATATTTTAACATATACAAAATAAATTTTTTGTATTTTTTGTTAATAAGGTTTGAATTTTTTATTTTTGCTTTTTTGGAAAAAACGTGGCTGACGTGCACAATTTTAACTTTAACCTGTCCCAGGTTAATTTTGAGGCAACATTAAAATATGAAACTATTTTTATTACGAGTGCAGATTACTGCTTACTTAGGTGTTATTTTTAACTAATTCATTATCAACAATTCAACAAATTAAGAGATACTATAGGATTCAATTCTCGATTTACTGAAGGTGAAAATAATCCAGAAAATGAATCGATTGGATTAGTTGATACTTATAAAGTGAAGAAAAGATCTCTTTATGGTCGTGATTATTTTAGAAATTAAGAATAATTTTTGACGCTGACCGGCAACGGGATTTCAGGATTTCGTCTGAGGGGAAGAGAAGTCTTTTTGCAGGGGAGTTCCTTTTGGGAAGTGTAAGGTAAGGTACTGGCATGAGTTTGTTTATTTAATTATCTATTTTCATAATGATTTTTCAACTTTACATTCATGCATTTTTGTTAACAGATTATGGTGTCGTTTAGCAATTCCATTATTATGGGAAAATCCATTTTCAATTCGTACCGGAAACTATGATTTTATTGAAATTTACTTATATAATAATTTAAATAATGATTTTATAGGAAAATTAAATGAATATAAAACTATTAATAATTCATTAGAATATACTGTTCAATTATCCTATTTTTTTAAAATATTTGAATACATATAATTTATTTACTTCTGTTGATAAGTGGTTTGATTCTGCTAATAGGAATTCAAAATTCGGAATTAGAACAGATGTTATTGAACAAAATTTTAGGAGTTTAGTTCATATGTCACTATTTAAAATTTTTACTGAAAATGAAGTAAATTTACATACTCTTGATGAAATTCTTTGCAAAATCAAAATTTTATTCACAATATTGGAAATTTGAAACTTTATATCAGATGCTATAACGACAATACGATAATTAATAACCATGTATCACAAATGATTCATTTACATCAAATCTTAAGAAAATTTTAATATGGGAAAATAATTTATCTTCATATCAATCATAAAAGATTATAATTATTCAAATACCTTAAATACAATTATTTTCTATTACGTCGATTTTGGAGTAATAATCAATCTTGATAAAGTATTTGAACAATTAAATGTTTTAGAATCTGTTCATATTGTCTATTGTTCTTCTTTGAATAGTTTTATTCAACAAATTAATAATTTAACTAAACCATTTAAATTAAAATCTTTAATTTTAGACGATGTACAATCATTGCAACAATTATTACTAAAATCTGGTGATTATTTAGAAAATTTTGGCGGGAGTGGAATTTATTATACTAATCAAGTTATATCACAATTATTAAAATATTGTAACAATATTAACTTGTTGGATATGAAAGTGAGATGATTTCTGCTTATCAAAAAATCAATTTAATTGAAAATATTAAACAAAGTCTCAATTATCTTTCAATAAATTTATCGGAAAGAAAATATTAATATTTAATAATTTGTAGTTTAATGATATTAAAAAATCTAGGACAAATTCTCCCTTCTAAATTAGATTACGTAAGTTTGAGTTTCATCATTAAAGAAAGTGATTTTAGAGTATTCTTAGAAAATTCTCAGTATATTTTTATTAATAAATTGTTAATAATTTTAGAATAGTGATGATATTTTACATTACATAAAGGAAAATATTATGAAGGAAAAAAGAGTCAAGTATTTGGCTATTAAGGATAATGAGAAGGAATTGTTTGATTTGAAAGATGAAGTGAGGGAATTCAAGTTACATAATATTATAAGTTCGAAGACATAGTGATTTAAGTATTGGCATTTATGACTTTATTATAAGGAATATTGATTAGTTAAAGAATATTTGATTAGTTATAAAAATGACAATAAAGTTGCTTTACATATTTACTTTCTAAAGCAATTTATTTATTTATAGTGATTTAGTAAGAAAATTTTTTGTTCATAGCAAATTTATAAATATTAATCCCAAAAGCACTGGTATTTCAAACTAAGAATGTTCCATAATCTGTTAGCTTTAAAAATTATGATCTTTTATTTACATCGTACAAATTAGTCTGAAGTTTATGCAAGGTGAAACAAATATCCTGAACGTGAATGTAATAAGATGTATTATAATAATAGCAAACCAATAAAAATCAATAAATTGTAATTATTCAATTAAACTACAGTATAACTACTATAACTTATTATGCTAGTCACATAGTTTATAAACGGTAAAAAAAAATACTAGATGCCCATTAGTGTTCAGGTGATAATAATAAATATATAAGACAAATATAAGTAAGTTATATAGTTAATCCTGGATAATTTTTGCTGTTAACTAATAAAAATTATTGTGTTAAATTATTTTTGGTAATTATGCTTCGATCATGAAACTATTTGTATGTATTTATTTCTTTACCGGCAAAAAAAAAATGGCATCCGGATTTGTTGCCAGGTTACACATGAACTGCGCACATGATCCAGATGATAAACTTTACGGTATACACCTCCTCCTTTTGTTAACATGTCATATCAAAAAAATGAGGTTTGTAAAGGATGTATTATTGGAGAAATCACCAAATTTAAATTATTGGAAAAAATGATATTAGAGATCTAAAAAATCGCTAAACTAACCAAGAACTTGAAGAGATTTGAGCATAGTGCATATTGTAGCATATTTAATAATATTTGTAATGTATAAAACAAAAACTTTTTAGAAATATTGACAACTATTATAGCAAAATATGGAGATGCTAGGGTCATCTGCAATTTTATCGTTCCGTCCAGTTTTATTTTGTTTTTAATCAAAACAATTGTACATAGGTGATTAATTCTCAGCAACTAACAATTTAAATAAATCTGACATAACGCTAAACGATAATTTCACAAAAAGGTTGAAGGATGAAAATAGATACAAGAACGATAAGGACATAGGTGAGAAAAGAGTAGCTATGGATTCTCCGAGCAGATCATCTGTAACTTGGAGCCTGGAATGGAGTTTAGATGAAATAACGGATGATCCTGAAAAAACGAAAGCGTGGTTTGAAGAAGCGCGAGCGAGAGGACTAGCATCACCTTTGAAGAAGAAAGAAGAGGAAAAGAAAAAAGGAAGTGGAAGCAAGAAGAAGGGAGGAAAGAAAAAAAAGAAATAGCGAAAAAAGAACAAGAAGAAAAAAATTAATCGAAGTCACGTGATTTCATGTTATGGCAAATTTAACAATAGTAATTTCTTTCTTGTTTAGTTTTTAGTTTAGTATACTAATTTTTTTTTTTTTGAAGGGTTTGTGAGAAAAGTTTGGAATAAATTTTGTACTGGGCGTGGGACCATTGGGACTCATCTATTTTATAGCATAGGCTTCAGTTTTTATTACAAATTTTCATTATTTTTCCCTACGAAAATTAGATAAGTTTGGACAAAATTTAGTTAGGTCTCACGTTAGGTTTAGATTAGTTTTTGGGAAAGGGATAAGTATTTATTTATATATATTTTCACAGGTAATGTAAAATAATACTCTGTTATAGGGTTGTCTCGTGATTTGCACGGATGGCTCTAAGTGTCTTTTCTATTATGGATTTCTTTGTATAATATATCCTAATAAAGATGCATTACAGTTTAAAAAAAAAAAAAAAAAAAAAATTAAATAAATCTGGAGTTTCGTATTCTTACAAATTAAATCTAGTATAATTTATATGAAATAATATAGAGATATAATACTTGTATAATTAAAATACGTATAATTGATACTTAGCAAAATTTCATTATAAGCATTTCATGAATTTATAATTTTTATTAGATGAATTTTATTTTATTAATTTATTATTTTAATTAATATCTCCCCAATTTAGTGGGGAGGAAATTAAGAAAATTAATATTTTATTTTACAGTGTCACACGTCAAAGTGGTCATGTGATACTTGTGATACTGCGCCTGATTAATCATAAAATGCCCGACTTCATTATCTGCTTAGCAAATGTGTGTTGTATATGATTATAAATATAAATTTATATTTTAGAAGTTCCAAGACAATAAAACTTTTTATTGAAGCGGATAAAAAAATAATTACAAATTTAAGAACATGTCCCATTCTTACAAATGCAAAGCAAAATAAATGAAACTTTATTCGTGATGTATAAAAGTTGATAGACGGTCTATACTAAGACTTATTTACAGTATCTGACTTTTACGCAAGATCGCCTGTTACTTACTAATCTTAACAGTTAAAAAGTTCTTTCCTTTTGAGTTAAGTAGATATTCTTTGGCTTATATAATAATGCAATAAGTAATGTAAGCAAAAAACAGCAAATAAACTTTTTAAACAAGTATACATTCAACAGATCCTAAGTGAACTTGCTTGCCCAGAGTATTGGAATCTAAACCATGCAATTTAAAATAGCAAACTGAACGTGAAATAAATCAATAGAAATAGGATTAGGTATAGTGGCAATGGGGTTAGGTGGAGGAAGTTGAGGAGGTGTTGGCGGTGGCGGATTCAAAACATTAGCTGGTAGCCCATGATAAAGGCATGCCAATTGAATGCTAATAACGCATTGCCAGGTTGCACGTCGCAACTCCATTACAGTCAATAGGTCCAAATTTGTACTAAATAAAAGATATGTCAAATTAATTTTCTACTGATTTAACTTTCACTACAAGCACTTAAAAATATAATATAGGATTAAATGTACCAATAGCTGTTTGATTATTTATGCAATAATGCCAAGCCTAATAAGAATATAATAACAATCAGAGAAGTTGAGCAGAAATCGAATCTTGTCATTTCTTACAGGTTGCACCACTTTAATTGCAATGCCATCATGAGCTCGGCCCAGTATCGTTCCATTTTTTTTATGACATCCGATTCAGATTGTGTGTACGCAACCTCTACCACTAGATTTGGCCAAGGTGGGTCTAAAAATATAATTTCATATCAATACTGTAAAATCTTAAAATCAAATCAGGAAACGAATAAAGTCAATAAGACTCATACACCGGTGGGGTCAGATCCGCCTGCATTGACTGGAGGTTTCGCTACTGGTCGCCATGATGTGTCCGCTTCTTTGCCTGTTCTAGGAGTTCTTGTTGCTTTTGCCAAGGATAATTAAGGATAGATTTAGCTAACGTTAATAGTATCAAAGGAAACTATCAACACTCACATGTATATCCAAAATAAAGAATGGCGGCGTTATTACTCCTTGCACCAATAGTTGCTGAAGCAATTTTCTGCACTATGGGACCAACACAATTCTCGTGAAATGCCATGGGTAATTCAATGATACCATCCAATCGTCCCATTATCCCACCACCTGTGGATATTATATTTATCCGTACGTTAGACATAAGTATCATAAGGTATCTTAGTGGCAAGCTTATATGGTAAACTTGACAATAAACAACAGTCAACTATTAGCTTATAAAGGTATCAAGTTGTTGAAACAATAAAATGACTTACGTTCAGTTGCCTGGCTTTCGAGTGTATCTGACCGGCTTTCCACCAGTACTTGCGATATTTTTTCAGTTCGCCAGGCTTGAAGATACAGTATCAGAAGTGGTGGTAAAAGAGGTGGCAGCAGTATCTTGAGTTGATTGGGTATTTTGACTAGTTGACATATTTTCCACGTTCACATATAAAGTTGTCACGTTTATGTACACAAGGCTATTATTAAATATTCTAAAACTTTCCATTGCACAAGATAGTAATCTACAATCACGTGCCAAATTTAATCGTACAAGTATCTGTATAACTAAAGAAATTCCTGCAACGTTTAGATTAACCTGTATAAATAATTTTGAATTGCACGGTGTGTAATTCATCCTGAATTGTAAAAGCTCCATATGAAAGTTGGAAACACTCCAGCCGGAATACTATTGACAAAGGATCTGGATACTCTATTAAATTTTGAAAATAATTGAAATTTACTTCAGCTTTAGTCATTCGGTTAAATCTTTTCAATTAAGATTATCAAAGATAAGAATATCCTATTATAATTATTGGTAAAACACAAATATGAAAACTCTAAATATAATGATCAGATAAATGTGCACCATTTTTTTGTATATAAATACTAGGGAAACGGTAAACCATTACGTAGTTCGGAGCTTATCAGTATATAGGTAGATAACCATATGCTCAATTAACCGATCGAGATAATTTCATGTAATATAAGAACCAATTAAACGTCGACTCAAAGAACAAGCGGACGGACAACGGGATATTTTGTACCACCACGGCTAGAACATATAAAGTCCTTCGCTACGCTCCAGACTAATAAAATACTATTTTTAAAGTCCAGATCTTTTTTTCTTTTTTTAAAGATTGGATTTTTTTTTAATAATAATATTTTTTTCAGTGTTTTTTTTTTTGACCAGATTTTTTCTAATAATAATAATATTTTTTTGGTCTTTTTTTTTAGGCCAGAACTTTTTTAATATTTTTTTTCAGTTTTTTAAAACCGAGATTTCAATAATTTTTCTTTCCAATTTTTTTTAAACCTGAATTTTAATATTTTTCATCCTTTTTTTTCTCTTTATAATAACCTATGCTAATACTGTATTTTTTTTGTGTAATTTTTTATTTATTTTTATGCATAATTACCGTCAACACATGGCGTGATGTATAAATATAATGGCAGGAGTTATGCTGTAATGTGGGCCAGGTGATTAATTGTTACGTCTTGTGTTGTCGTTTATTTTATCAACTATGGTAAGCATGATTTCTATTTTTTTCGATTGATGTAATCAAAATAAATATTTTTTTATCGAATAAATATATACTCTTTGTATTAGATTAAGTATATTTTTTTTTACTTAAAATAAAAAACCTGTTAATATTATATAAGAACTAATTCATCTAAATATAAAATAAAAATTTTATTGTTATATTGATTTAAATACATTTAATCCTCATGAAATTATTTAAACTAAATATATTTAATAATAAAATTGTCAAATTAAAAGAATGGCGTAGACTAACAATTCAAACAGTAGACTCAAAGTTATTCAATAATATTATTCAAATATTAACTGGGGTTCTCTCGTGACTACAATTAGTGGACAATAATGTTCTTATAACTAACCCAGTAATCGTACACAAAAATCTGAAAATTTGCGATAATGTATAATGATTTTATTAACTTATCCTATTCCAATGTTAAACGAACAATAAATTTATTTTTATTCAATCAAGAAATTTTATTGCAAATGTTAATATTTTCATAGCAGGTAGATTTAATAGTAATCTAAGCTATTTTAGATAAATAAACAAAAAGTAAGATTATTGTTTCTTTTTTATTGCGCATTCCACTATAAAATTTAATATAATAAATCAGAATATTATAGTGTTATAATTATAACTAAAAGCAGCACTACAGTAAAATGAGCTACTTTATATTATCCTTTATTAAATATTTTTCTTAAATTGCCCTTATCTAGGTGCGATAATTTAATACTATAATTTCCATTACATAAAAATTAAAAATCAAAAAAATAATTTCTTATAAAGTATTCCATCGAATATTTCAGATATTAACTTAAAAAACTTTTATTCATGTAAAAATAGAAGGAATATTAAGTTAAAGTAACAAAAAAATACATCTAATTCTATTTAATAAACCTTATGAATGACTAATGATAAATAGACAATAATAAAGGGTACAAAAAATATTCATATATATATAATTTTAGTTACTCATGTTTTATATTATGATATTAATATGAGAACAAAATATTTTTTGTTGAAATTATAATTTTGGTTATTAATTCTTGAGTATTGCCAATTATTTATATAAAAAAAATGTAATGTGATTTGTCCTCACAAAGTTTAATTTATTAAAATTTAGTACTTGTATTTATCAATGATCACAGGCCTTAAAACAACCACTACCCGTTTCATTTTTCATTTTACATGTAATACTTTATGAGAAAATATAATAAAAGCTTAGCTTTGAATTTTTAAACGTGCATGCGTATTTTATGTGTATACGCAAGAAAAATCTTTTAGTAATACAGTTAACGTTAAAAGATAAATACGAATTTGGGACGCAACCCATTATACAGGTGAGCGAAGTGCTAAATAAAATAAATACATAGGTCACGTGATACATGATTTGGGTAAACATTGATCGCTAAAACTTTCATGCCAACACTGTCTTACTTTTCCACAATTTTGAGGGATACTATGTATATTATTTCTGGTGTCTACAGTCCACTCAATGACTTTACCCTTTTTATTTCTCTCTTTATTTGCGATAACACCTAAATCCACTTTTTGTGACTCCTCCAACAGCCAGATAATTTGGTCAAGGACCTTCTCCGCCATGTCTTTCATACCTGTATTTTCGTACGCAACAAATAAAGACTTCAACAGCTTAAATGACAGTTTCCTTTCACTGTCTTGTATACATTCCACGAAATACCATTTCTCCACATCTGTTACGATCCTCAAACCCATATTCGTTTGCTTTGCGTTTACAGCCTAATGATGATTCCAATTGTGTAGTGGCTTGTGCAAAACCTGCTTAAAATCATCTTTTTTGACCTCAATTAAACCAATGATTCTCCCAGTCATAAGTGATTTAATACCATGGTCAAGATTCCTGCGCTCATTTTTTCTCTTGATCAGCTTCTCTGGTATGATCTTTACTTGATTTTTAAATAGGTAAGTAGCGGAGACGAGATAGGTATACGAATAGATGCTTTTGGTGGCCTCATAGGGTATGTAGATAGGAGTTGTTGCAACTCGAGTCTAAGTTTATGTAATGCTTCTTATTTTTGGTGTTCGCACATCCGCATGAAAAAACGGAATACACGTCAATGCTAGGGTTTGGATTATCGCTAAGCCCATAGAGCTCGCACATTTTCAGAAAGATCCATTCGTTGAAGGGCTTAAAGGGTCTCAATGAGTACAGTAAACTTGAAGCTGTTATTGTTATGAATAGCCGGAGCATTTTGCAAAGGTCTTGATCGTTCTGAGGTGAATATCTCTCCCCACTGCTTATGAAGTTCCATCATTTTCAAGTGCTGGTGGTTTATCCATTTCATGAATATACTCCTTGAGGCCTTGCTTCAAGGGTTGTGTCATAAATGATTACGGTCCACTTGAAGCATAATGTTGAATGTTGTAAAGCAACAACCGGTTAGTAAATTGTTTTCAGGATGGGCTGTCTCGGAAATTTCATATACCTCAGGTACATACCATAGACAGACTTGTTGAGTAATGCCTGTAACAAGGCGTGTTACTCCCTTAATTCCAATACCTCATTCGAAGCAGCAGACACGGGTGGTTTGACTTTTACATGAATATTCTTCTTAGGCAGTTTCTCAGATCAGTAGTCTCCATCCAGCCAGTATCATTTATTGCCGATAGCTCTTCATTCTCCTCGAGTGAGTGATTATTCAAAGGATTGATAGGATCGCCAGGAATTTCCACCTTTCATAGTTGGCAGGACGGCAGGTTTTCTGCCTTGATAGCTTTTTTTAACTTACCAACAAGACTCTTTTTATCTATGCAGACAGGGAAAGCATTAGCGAATGTGTTTCTTTTGACGAGACAGAGTAATGTGACAGACATTTTCGGTTTATATAGTATTTTTTGCGAAATTTTATTGGTGCAGACTAACATATGTGAAGACAATAGTAAAAAATTTTTTTGTGAAAAAAATACCGTAAAATCTCGAATTTAAGCACCTACCAAATTCAAGCATCCCTATCACTTTTTCCGCAATGTTCGTATAAACTAAAATTTAACACCTCTAAATTTAAGCATTTTCAACTATAAATTTATTATGTAGTATGATACATCAAAAATTCGATATTTTTTTTTAATTAAGTATTTTTTTTTAAATTATTTTGGCATAGTAAAACTCTTTTATACAATATATATATATATATCTAGCATTAATTGATAAAATTTTTCGCAAATAAAGCAATTTTAAATAACTAATTTTATTTCATCCTATTTTAAGTATTCTACTTTGGCCTTTTATTTAAAATCATCAACTTTTTAAAATCATTTTATTTCGGCCTTTTTTTAAATACTTTTTTACAACGCCCCTTTAAGTTAGCCCGAAAAAATGTTTTTCTTATTGTGGAAATACCTGACAACTTTGATGAATGAACTTCATAATTAACATTAAGTAAATTAGAAAAGGGAAGAGTATAGACTAAGAAATGTAAATAAGAAATGTTCTAAGCTTTAACATTTCTTCTTTTTTAGGGACACCAGCGGCACCAAATTCTTGGAACTTAAATGGACTGAAAGGTAAATCAGTCACTTGTTTTGATTAACAATTTTATGTGTTTGCTCATTGATATTATAGGTTCAAGCATATTACATATACACTTTTGAAGATAATCACATACCACATTGCTTTGAAATTACTCAAAACCTAAAGTCAATCTATGTAATTATTTGGATACAACAAGTGAATTGTTTACTGTGATTTGTAACATAATAATTTATTGTACACTTGAATTTTTTTAAATTTGATTACATTAAGCAATAAATTAATATATACTGTATATTCATTTTAGAATGTACATTTGTACTTGTACATCAAAATAGAATAAAGTTAGAAGACTTTAGTTTATCAAGAAACAAAAATAACTGATGCATTATATAATCCAGCAGATATCTTTGGTGTAGTTTCTTATCAAAATATTTAAATAATATGAAAAATAAAAGTCAATAAATATAGATTAAATACAATCAGCTATTGAAATAAGAAATAAGTATAAAAACTTTACATTATTATTGGTTGATAATTTATATCTCATAATTGGAAAAGTTATAAAAAGAAGATTTATTTAAATTACAAACTAAGAAACTTGTAAAATATTTACTACTCTAATCTTAGTGTTTAAATAATTTAAGTATAATAAAAAAAAAGTGAATATAAATATATAAGCTAAAAATAAAAGAATTATTTAAATTACAAACTAAGAAACTTGTAAAATATTTTACTACTCTAGCCTTAGGTGTTTAAATAAATTTAAAAAGAATAAAATAAAAAATAATTTCTTTTGAATTTGTAATATCAAATATCACTTAAAAAAAACTATAAATTTTTTTAAAAACAAACAATGATTGGTTAATTATCATCTGTTTTAATATCTAAATAATTAAATATTAAATAAAATTAATTTCACATAAATAATTTGCAAGATTAATTCTTTTATATATCACAGTACATACCTAATGATCCTAAATCCTTAATTGTATAATCATTCAAATCTTCACTTACTAGAATTTCATTTGCTTCTACACTAGCTTGTGAATTTTCATTTTCAAGAATTTCATTCGACTTTTTACTAGTATTCTCATCTGTTTCAATAATTAAATAAATAAATTAATTTTCATATAAATAATTTGCAAGATTAATTTTTTATATATTATAGTATATACCTAATGACCTCAAATCTTTAATCGCACAATAATTCAAATTTTTACTTTCAAGAATTTCATTCAATTTTTTACTAGTAAAATCAAGTAAGCGACCTGTATAATATGCTTTAGGATGAGATTTAGTAACAAGATTGTTATGCCCAATTGGTGCATTTATAAATTCCATAATGTTGCTTTTTAATTCTTCATTAATTTTATCATCAGAAGGACGGAATATCCATTTTTCAATAATACTCAATACTTCTTTAGAAGATGGTCTTTCTGATGAATCTTCATTCCAACATTTTTTCATTAAATCTACATAACATTGTGGAGTGTTTTCAATAATTTCAGGACGTTCACCTTTACAAATACTTAAACTAAGTTGAATATCATGTGCTCTATTATTAAATGGTGGTACCCCAGATGTAAGTTCCCACATAATTATAGAAAAACTATATATATCACTAGCTGGAGTATAAGATTTGCCTCTTAAAACTTCAGGAGCCATAAATGGTAGAACACCATAAATATCATACTTTTTCAAAAGCGATTTTACGGGTTGACATAATCCTAAATCACTAATATAAAATTTATCCTTATTTTCATCATTATGATTTAAAATATTACCATCATGAAAATCACAATGAATAAGATTTTCTTCATGTATCATATTAAGTCCAGAAATAATTTCGTATAACATATATAATTTTTGATTCCAATTATTTTCAACTATACTTGTTAAATTTTCTCTTAAATTACCTTTATTTGCATAATCCATTACTACCATATATTTTGAAGTATTTGGATCTTCTGTAAATCCATAAAAATATATAATATAATTTGAACTTAATACACTTGCATGATATTTCCACTATAAAAAATAATAACTTATTAATATAAATAAATCTTAAATTAAAATAAAAAATAATATACTATCATACTTCTTTTAAAAATTCATTTAAGTTTTCATTTAAATCCTTATGACATTTAAGAATTACTTTTTTATCTCTATTATTCTTTAACCAAGTAGCTTTATATATAGTACCAAATCCTCCTTCATTAAAATATTCAACATTTTTAAATTTGTTATAAGGAATCCATTTTAATCCATTTTTAAGAATAAAATCATTTATAATTGCATTTTCACTTTCTCCAAATCTATAAATTTAAACAGTTAAAATTATATTATAGCTTGTATTATAATTACACTAAAATAAATTATTACTTACTCTAAAATTTAAATAAAGAATTTGATGTAATATAAATCTTAGTTTTTAGATAAATATATAATAACCTATAATTTACAACTTACCAACTAAAGCAATAGATATTTTTTAAATTAAAGAATTCAGTTAACAAATAGATATTATATACATATTTCTTATATAAAATATATAAAAATAGAAATATAAATATCTTACAAGCTATATTATA